GCACCGGCCAGGCTGTTGCTCCACTTTTTGATGCATTTGTGGTTGGTTCTCGGATGTGCTGTAACCGGGGATCAAACCCAAAACCTTGGTGTATCAGGATGATGCTCTAACCAGCTGATCTACCCCTGGGCCCGGGCCCTGAAACTTCCCTTCCGTCCAGTCAGGCTGCTGTTTTCTCAGCACGGGGATGGGCTTTTAGATCGAGAAGTATGTGTTCGTTTTCTTTGCGAATGACCAGAGGGCCCTCCGTGCGGTGCCCAGCAGTGGGAGACAAAGGAAGGTCAGCTCTCCTGAAAGCCTGCAGGACCACCCACCCCACACCCCCTCCAGCCGCAGCGGCCCGACTCCTGCGGGTGGCCGGGCAAGCCTTCCTGTTGGGGAGCCTGTGTGCATGGTTGTTCCGCCAGCACCTAACCCTGGCCAACTGACCACGACATTCCACCCACCTACCTGTATGCGTGACTGTTGAGAATCACTATGACCTGAAGACGTTTCTTTATTGAAACCAGTTATTTTGTTTTATTTTTTAAATTTTCACTGAAGGCCCTGGCCGGTTTGGCTCAGCGGTTAGAGCGTCGGCCTGCGGTCCAGAGAGACCCGGGTTCGGTTCCCGCTAAGGGCACGTACTTCGGTTGTACTTTGTCCCCGGCCCTGGTTGGTCGTGCGGGTGGCAGCCAGTCGATGTGTCCCTTTATGTCGATGTTTCTCTCTCTCTCTCCCTTCCTCTCTCTCCCTCCCACTCTATCTGTACAAAAAATGGAAAAATATCCTCGGGTGAGGATAAAAAAAAAAAAAATTTTCACTGAAGGATTTTTTCCCCATTTATCTTCAGATAGAATGGCAAGGAGAGAGAGAGAGACATCGATTGGTTGCCTTCCACACGACCCCGACCCGGGCCAGACACCAAACCACAACCCTCAACTCTTTGGTCCTCCAGCCGACACTCGAACTGCTAAGCCAAACCGGCCAGGGCTGAAACCAGTGTTTCTAAGGAAAAATAAGGTTTTGAAATAACACATAGTTCCATTTAAATTTTCACCCAGTTTCTCATTACATTGCGGAATTGTTTTTCCCAGTTATTTAGCTCTTTGGCTCCAGTGAGGTTTCAGAATGGAAAAAGAATTGCACTGACTCAGTTGGTTTGAGGTGTAATTCTCGTAGTGACACGCACAGTCCAGTTTGACCAGCTTTGACATGCAGCCAGCTGTGTGACCTGCAACCTGTTGTGCTAGAAGACATTCCTGTCATCCCTGAGGGTCCCCTTGTGTTGTGGGCTGAATGTTGTTTGTGCCCTGGCCCTGTGTGGGGTGGAGGTGGGGCCTCTGGGAGGTGGGCCCTGATCTGAGGGGGGAGGCCCCTGTCCTGGCTCACACCCTGGAGAGGTCACACGACACGCAGTGTGGGGATGCCATCTGGAAGGGGCCTCACAGACTCGAACCTCCAGGCCCTAGTCTTCGACCTCTGCCCCCCGCCCCCAACTGTGAGAAACAGGTGTGGTCTGTGCTGACTTATGGCCACCAGAGCTGACAGACACCTCAGAAGCCTTTCCAGACCCGCCCCCAGGGGCAAGCTCTCCGGTGCCGCTCCTTGAGCTGCCTGCCTGAAGCCTCCTAACTGAGCCGCACGTCTGATGTCTGCGACTGATGTCTGCCCTTCGTGTGCCGCCCGGGCTGGCAGCGCCGGGGTTTTCTCGGGCTTGGCCCGTGACTCAGGCTCTGTGAGGGTTCTCGTTTCTTCTGCAGTCACCTGGGGTTGGGCTGCCCCGGGGGCCTCTGGGGGGCAGAGTGGATTTCATTTGCATTTCCTTGAGTTCACTGAGCCTCGTGAGCACTTCATTGCTTCTTGCCTGTTCTGTATCTCTTTTCTGAGGGATCTGGTCAGGCCTTCTCCCTTTTCTGAATTACTGAGCTGTGAGTCCTGTCTCTGGACATGGGGCTCTCCAGGTACACATGTCGCCCCCCATTCTTGGACGTGCCTGGAATGTCTCACTGATGGTCTGCAGCATTGTTCAATTAACTTGAAAAAGCTGCAGACAGCCCGGTGTTCCTGAAGGGGAACACCTTCCTTAACCCTGGCACACAGGTCAAAACGCCGACGCAGCTGGGACCGACTGCTGCCTGAGCCCCAGATGGCGCTGCCCGCGGCCCGTTCCCGTACCCCCCTCTGCCTGGCCACCCTGCCATAGCCTCTCCCTTGTCCCTTCCGGGCTGTGACAGCGTCCCAGCCTCTCCTGTGTTTTCGTGACTGTTTTGAGGAGACTGCTCCGGTGTTTTGTAGAGCACCCTTCATGTTAGGTTTGTCTCGTGTGTACTTGTGCTGAGACTGGGGTTGTGGATTTTTTTGGGGAACACCTCAGAGGTGTTCATATTGGGGTCACCTGACATCCACACAACTTTGCAGGGGATGTTGTCCTGGTTCCCCTGGGTCAGGTGGGTCGCCGCTGTCTCCTCTATCCTGTCCTGTCCCTCCTGCTCCTCCCGTCACTGAGGCAGCCCCTCGGGGGTGGGGGGCCCACCACCCCGTGTGTTCTGCACGGAGGCCTCTCTCCCCCTGACGCTGTCCTTGTGGACTCGGGGTGTCCCAGTGGCTGCTCGCTGTGCCCCGGCCTCGGCTCCTGTGTCCCTGGGACATGCCACCGTCCCAGGTTTCTAAGTGCTGAACTGAAATGGTGTTTTGTGACTTGGTTGAGTTGGGGGTGCCTCTTACCAGAGAGTGAGCAGAGGACCCCGAATTCTGGACCTTTCCATGAGACAGGGAAAGGTTGTCTCTAGATTGATGGGCTTGGGCGTGAATCACACACCCTGTGGGAGAGTCAGTGCGTGAGTGACATCAGTCTGCTGTGTAAAGAAAGGGATTTCACCACAGAGAGGAGGAGGGCCCTCAGGGAGAGGCAAGAACGAGGGTGGGAGGGGTGCTTAACACGCCTGCAAGGAGGCTGCTCTGCCTCTGCTCTCGTCAGCCCTGGACTGAGCTGGTGCCAGCAGATGACAGGCAGACCCCCAGCGACCCTGAGGTCGCTTGCTCAGGACTGTCACTCTGCTCATCACCCTGCCCCGCCCCGGGATGCTCTTCCTCACGACCCTGGCCTGAGCCCTTCGTCCCTCGCCCCCTGCCCAGATATGCTGTCCGCAGCCCCACCCGGGAGGGAGGCGAGGGCAGTTCCCGGGGGTTGCTGCTGTGGTGCTGTCTCCAGGGACCTGCAGCTCCCTGCACGTCTGCCTGGCAGCTGGTCCTGCCAACGCAGGTGTTTCCAGAAGTGACTTTTATATGAGAAAATGCATCTCACTGTGTTTCGGACATACTGTGGTTATGGTCACCACCCTGCAAGTTAGCAGAAATTTGCTAAAGTTGGTCTAACCACCAGGTCAGGAGGTGCAGGTCTGGCTATGCCAGGGACAAGGAGTCGCCCGAACCCCAGGGACGTGCAGCTCTGGGCTTCAGTGCTGGGTCTTCAGGTGCCCAGTGCAGCCCCAGGCTCTGTGCTCAGGGTCTCAGTGCTGGGTCTTCAGGTGCCCAGTGCAGCCCCAGGCTCTGTGCTCAGGGTCTCAGTGCTGGGGCGTCAGGTGCCCAGTGCAGCCGCAGGCTCTGTGCTCAGGGTCTCAGTGCTGGGTCTTCAGGTGCCCAGTGCAGCCCCAGGCTCTGTGCTCAGGGTCTCAGTGCTGGGTCTTCACGTGCCCAGTGCAGCCTCAGGCTCTGTGCTCAGGGTCTCAGTGCTGGGGCTTCAGGTGCCCAGTGCAGCCCCAGGCTCTGTGCTCAGGGTCTCAGTGCTGGGGCGTCAGGTGCCCAGTGCAGCCTCAGGCTCTGTGCTCAGGGTCTCAGTGCTGGGTCTTCAGGTGCCCAGTGCAGCCCCAGGCTCTGTGCTCAGGGTCTCAGTGCTGGGTCTTCACGTGCCCAGTGCAGCCTCAGGCTCTGTGCTCAGGGTCTCAGTGCTGGGTCTTCAGGTGCCCAGTGCAGCCCCAGGCTCTGTGCTCAGGGTCTCAGTGCTGGGGCGTCAGGTGCCCAGTGCAGCCTCAGGCTCTGTGCTCAGGGTCTCAGTGCTGGGTCTTCAGGTGCCCAGTGCAGCCCCAGGCTCTGTGCTCAGGGTCTCAGTGCTGGGTCTTCAGGTGCCCAGTGCAGCCCCAGGCTCTGTGCTCAGGGTCTCAGTGCTGGGTCTTCAGGTGCCCAGTGCAGCCCCAGGCTCCTGTGCTCAGGGTCTCAGTGCTGGGTCTTCAGGTGCCCAGTGCAGCCCCAGGCTCTGTGCTCAGGGTCTCAGTGCTGGGTCTTCAGGTGCCCAGTGCAGCCCAGGCTCTGTGCTCAGGGTCTCAGTGCTGGGTCTTCATGTGCCCAGTGCAGCCCCAGGCTCTGTGCTCAGGGTCTCAGTGCTGGGTCTCAGGTGCCAGTGCAGCCCCAGGCTCTGTGCTCAGGGTCTCAGTGCTGGGTCTTCAGGTGCCAGTGCAGCCCCAGGCTCTGTGCTCAGGGTCTCAGTGCTGGGGCTACAGGTGCCCAGTGCAGCCCCAGGCTCTGTGCTCAGGGTCTCAGTGCTGGGTCTTCAGGTGCCCAGTGCAGCCCCAGGCCTCTGTGCTCAGGTCTCAGTGCTGGGTCTTCACGTGCCCAGTGCAGCCCCAGGCTCTGTGCTCAGGGTCTCAGTGCTGGGTCTTCATGTGCCCAGTGCAGCCCCAGGCTCTGTGCTCAGGGTCTCAGTGCTGGGTCTTCAGGTGCCCAGTGCAGCCCCAGGCTCTGTGCTCAGGGTCTCAGTGCTGGGTCTTCAGGTGCCCAGTGCAGCCCCAGGCTCTGTGCTCAGGGTCTCAGTGCTGGGGTCTTCATGTGCCCAGTGCAGCCCCAGGCTCTGTGCTCAGGGTCTCTGTGCTGGGTCTTCAGGTGCCCAGTGCAGCCCCAGGCTCTGTGCTCAGGGTCTCAGTGCTGGGTCTTCATGTGCCCAGTGCAGCCTCAGGCTCTGTGCTCAGGGTCTCAGTGCTGGGGCTACAGGTGCCCAGTGCAGCCCCAGGCTCTGTGCTCAGGGTCTCAGTGCTGGGTCTTCAGGTGCCCAGTGCAGCCTCAGGCTCTGTGCTCAGGGTCTCAGTGCTGGGTCTTCAGGTGCCCAGTGCAGCCTCAGGCTCTGTGCTCAGGGTCTCAGTGCTGGGTTTTCAGGTGCCCAGTGCAGCCCCAGGCTCTGTGCTCAGGGTCTCAGTGCTGGGTCTTCAGGTGCCCAGTGCAGCCTCAGGCTCTGTGCTCTGGCTAATCCTGCTCATGGCTTTAGAGGCTGCCTTTGCACCCCAGCGATGGCCTCACTCTTCTGAAGAAAGTGTGGTGATCAGCAAGACCTGTGAGACCAAGGGTCCCTGACGCCTGTGTCCGCCCCAGAGGTCCATGTGGGTGGAGATGCTCGGGTGGGTCAGGGTTCTACTAGGACAGAATGCAGTGAGGGATGGCTGAGCCCCATCTGAGCTCACGTTCAAGGAGAGCTCATCTTGACCTTCTGCTCCCTCCCTCTGGGAAGCTCTTGTGGGGAGGGAGTCATCCAGAGCCCAGATCAGACGGGCTGACCACAGTCCCTCTGGTCCCTCTGCTGGGGTGCTCCCGACGGGAGGTCCAGTGGGACCCAGAGCACCAGCGGCCTCAGCCCTTGCCTGGTTTGGCTGTGCGGTGACTGGCAGTCGGCCTCACCTAGCACCTTGGTTTGCAGGCCTTGGACCAGCGGGATTGGGCCATGAGACTCCTGACAGGCAGCCGTCCTGACCGCTGAGCTGCAGACGGTGAGGAGCTGGATGTCTGCAGCTCACGTCCTGCAGGACCAGAGCGGGTCCTCGGCCCCCCGCCGCCTGTGGCCGCACAGCGCCCCTCTCTGTTGCAGACCCTGCCCTCTGGACATGGCGCTCCAGCGTGCCATCCTCCTGGCCGGCCTCCTGGTGGAAGTTGCTGGCAAATCCTCAGAAAGTGCAGTAGGTGCAGCCTGGGTGCCAGGAAGCAAAGTCAGAGCCTCCTGTTCCAGCCCCTCCCCCACGGGGTCCCATGTCAACCTCCAGGGTCCTGCCTGAGCCAGCTGGGGGCCTGGAAGCTGACTGCTGTTTCCCCCTAGGACCAGCAGTCCGCGTGCTGTGTGGACGTCGTGGGCGTCAACACCACCTGCCCAGGCACCAGCCTGTGTGGCCCAGGTAAGCACCTTGGCCTGAGCTGACCGCAGCCAGCCTTGGGGCGGCACCCTCAAGCTCGCCATACCCTGCGAGGGCTGGAGGCACCCTCCTGGCCTGGCCACCTCCTCCTGAGTGGGGGCAGGACCCTGTGAGGAGACTGGTCCTGAGCAGTGGGAGGCAGGACACTGACTGCGCCCAGGGGTCCCCGGGGCCTGAGAACTCCCTGACATGCAAACTTACCAGGAGAAGCACGCGGACACGTGTCCACGTGTGATGGACATGCAGCCGTGAGGAGAGGGAGGGCCACAGCTTTTTTTTTGCACCTGAGCTGAGACTCACTTTTACGTCGAAGAGGCTTGTTTTGGAGTGGCATTCCAATCTCCTTCCATCCCCCCTTTGACAATGGGAAGCCGCATTGGTCGCCGTAGAGGCACGCGCAGAAAGGAGCCGACCTGTGCCTGTCCACACGCACGGAGCCTCCTGGGTGCCTCGTGTCGGGGGCAGTCGGCGAGGGTGAGAGGCTCTGCCAGGGAGACAGGCAGACAGGCTGGTGGTCGGAGCAGGTGCAAATCCAGTTCTGTGTCCAGAGAGCAGTCAGCTGAGACCATGTCTAGGTGTTGGGCTCACAGCACCTTTAGGTGGTGCGAGGACAGCAGCGCAGTGTCTGATGAAGGTCCTGGGGGTCCTTGTGACCTTTCCGAGCGGCTCGCACAGCGGCAGGCGTAAAGATCGTCCACGCACGGCTGGTCGAGGGTTTCAGGGTGTCAGCCTGTGTTGGCCTCAGGCAGGAGCAGTTCTAGTTCTTGGTGGTCCCTCTTGGAGGTGGGAGGGAATTGGGAGCATCAGCTTGGAGGGTCGTGGGCAGACCTTGGGGTGGACCCGAAGAATTCGGTCTAGTCTGGCTCACAGGCAGGCAGGCCTGAGCCAGCGCAGGGCCAGGACCCATATCGCCAGGTGCCTCACGGCTTCCTCCTGAGTGGAACTTCTCTGTGGTCCCCCTGCTCCCAAAGGCCATCGCCGTGATAAGGCTGGTTTGCTCCTACAGCGAGTCTAGCCTCTCCCGGGCTGACCACGTCCGTAAGCGGGACTGGAGTTGCGATGACGCGTAGGTCCCTTTACGTCGTTTGGCTGGATCTTCTCACACAGAATCTCAGATTGGACTCTAGAAGCCAGGAGAAGGACCCACCATCAGACTTCGCTGGCAAAATCTGTAGATCGGGGTGAATCCTCTGTCCTCAATCTGTAGATTGGGGTGACTCCTCTGTCCTCAAGGTCCCCAAATACCTGGAGGTTCCTGACCTTGCTAGGAAGTGACCGCGCTCACCCAGTGAGGCAGGCGCGGGTGGTTCTCAGAGGGTCCTCTTGGCTCCCGAGACAACCTCAGCTCCCTAAGTGTGTCTGGGCTCAGGTCCTGCTCTCCCTCTGCTGCGTGGCGTCCCTGCGCACAGTGTGGCCGGGGCTTCTCGGGAGTCACTGCTGGCGCTGGGCCCGTGCCCAGGCCCCCGGAGCGACTGGGAGTAGATGCGTGTGCTCCCCGCAGCCGCCCCCTGGGAGGGCCAGGCGAAGGAACAGAACGTAGGCTCTCGAAGAGAAACCCTGTTTTCACGAGCACCTGCCCAGCACGCATCACTCCAGGCTCTGCCATCACTCAGAACCACGGCAGAAAGGCCTTCCTCTTACACTGACCCGTCCGTGCAGATCACACGTCTGTGCAGGTCCCCGGACACGGCCCACAGCCGGGCATGTCTGCTCCGCCTCTGCGCTCAGGGTTGAGATGTTAAGAACTAACCATGGCGTCAGCCACTGGCCGGGAGGGCTGGGGTGAATGTGGGTAGGGTGCTGGGACCCTGAGGAAGGGTCAGGGCAACAGAGCGAAGGTCATGCCTGGCCGAGTGCAGCTGTCCAGGCCCTGGAGGAGGTGGTGTGAGCCCGAGCGGTCGAGGCCGTGGTGGGGGGAGGCCCTGTCCCGAGTGTGAGTCCACACAGCGCCTGTCTGCTTCGGATTTCCATCCCGGCCGCCCTGGTGCCACCCTGACTCCCAGACCAGTCAATTAGCGTTCCGGAACGAACACCGACTGACACACTGACGTGCAGACAGACGGCCAGCTGAGGCCTCTCTCGCTGCACAGGCTGCGTCAGGCGCCGGAACGAGGACGGGAGCGCCAGCTGCGTGCAGTGCAGGAACGGGACCGCCCACAGCTCCGAGTGCAGAGGCCGTAGGTCGCCTGCCTCCCCTGCCCCCCACGCCCACCTGGCCTGCCTCACATCTTACAGCTCCTGGTGCTGGAGGGGCGGGTGGGAGTTGCCTTTCTTGTCCTGGGGGGCGTGGGGGCACCTGGAGCCCTTCCTCCCGAGTCTGTGTCAGGAAGCAGTGGGCTGAGAGCGGCTCTGACTGCACGGCCATGGCCACCACTCCCCGTGGGCTGTCCTGGCCCATGGGTCCTCGGGGTTCCCTGCGTGTGGTCCCACGGGTCCTCGGGGTCCCCTGCATGTAGCCCGCACTGACAGGCATGCTCTCCACAGTCGCTGGCCAGGGCGCACAGTCCCCCGTGAACAGGAGCACAGGGGCGCCTGGGCGGCCGAATCTCGGTGAGTGTCCTGGCGCACAGACCAGAGCAGGGCCTCTGCGCCGGCCGTGGGGCAGGGGCGTCGTCAGCGCCATCCCCGGTGCAGACCCGCCCGTGGTGCTGCCGTAGCAGGGCTGCTGAGCATCCGGAGCCCCTGGGCTGGTCAGTGGGTGGGGCCTCCCGCGTGCCCTGACAGTCCCAGCAGGTGGGAGCCTCGAGTGATCCCTGTGCTTCACTCCCAGCCCACCGGGCCCTCAGTCCATGGTGCCCGGGACGTGTGGTTCTCAGAGGTCAGGACCCCCTAGGCCCCTGCCCTGTCCCCAAAGGCTCTTCTAGGAGGTGGGCTCGGAGGCCTGCAGACACGCACACCGGACAAAGGCCCCTCACCTCCTGGGCCCCCAGGACGGACTCAGGACCCACCTCCCGGACACTCTGTCCCCAGCCTGCTCTTGTCTGAGATGCCCCCTGACGCCGCTGCGGTTGGCCGTGACAGTCCTGGGAGACGAGGGTCCTGTCCTCTGACCCTGCTTCTTGAGGCACCTGGACTGAAGGCTCAGGCTTCCCACGTCTCAGGACCAGAAGGAGGTGCCCTGCACTGGCCTGGCCATGGAGGCCGGCGGCACCAAGCAGCCGTGTGGGGCAGGGGCCACCCCCATCGAGCCGGGCTGGGCAGCGCGGGGTTGGCGGAGGCACCTGCCCACTTAGCTGGGCGTCCACCGTCCTCTCCACTCCCATGTGGCCTCCGCTTGTCCTCAGGAAGTGCCCCCAGCAGGCAGGTCCCTGCCCAGCCAGTGCCAGCCCCGGGCCCGGGGTGTGCAGCAGACTGAAGCCTGCCCTGTCCTGCAGGGGGCCCGCGCGTGGCAGCCTCCCTCTTCCTGGGGACCTTCTTCGCCAGCTCCGGCCTCATCCTCACGGTGGCTGGTTTCTTCTACCTCAAGCGCACCAGCAAACTGCCCCGGCTCTGCTGCGGTAGAAACAAAGGTATTTCCTCGTGTGCCACGGCGAGACCCCCCGGCCAGAGCTCTGCCGGCAGCCCCTGCCGAGGCCACGGTGCTGCCTGGGCCCAGAGCAGAGGCTGCATCGGCGTCCGGCTGTGGAGACGCCTGGACAGCAGCCAGAGGCCGGGAGTGGAGGGGCTGTGGGTTCCTGGGGTGCTCCTGGCAGACCTGGTGGGGCCTTGCAGGGAGGGCACTGGCGTGACCGCCCCTGGGCCGTCGTGGCGGGTCCCGGTCTTGGCTGCCTGCCCACAGCTGCCCTCTGACCACGTCCTCTCCTGGCCAGGCTGGTGGGAGCCCACCCAGCTCGCGTCCCCCGAGGACACAGGTGTTGCTCCTGCTGTGCCCTCAGGTGTCTGGCTGGTGGGCGGCCGCAGGCCTGACTCCTCAGCGGACAGTGCCAGTGGGCGAGTGGCCGGAGCCCCGCCTGCCAGAGGCCTTGGCTGGGGACCCCTCGGCTGGCCTCATGACACCCGCCTACTACCCTGAGCTGGCGCTGGACGCCTCGGGGTGTTAGAGCTGCCTGGTCCCAAGTCTGCTGGCCCTCTGCCTGGCGGAAGGCGCTGGGTCAGCTATGAGGCCCGGCCTGTGCAGTGCGGGGGCCACGTGCTGGCTTTGCTCAGCCAGGCGGCCAGGGTCCAGAGGGAGGCCAAGGCGGCTGGGAGTGTGGTGACCTCCCGGGGGAGGGGCGGAGGCCGGGCAGGTGGGGCTCCGCGGTGCAGCCTGGAGGCCTAGAGAGACGTACTGGACACTGCTCTGTGCCGTGTTCAGGGTGGGGAGGTGGGGCCTGGGCAGGGCAGCTCGCCTGGGGCTTGGGGGCTACCACCCCGAGTGTGAGTGCGGGTGGGAAATGTGGCCGGGCTTCACCCCAGGTGAGGCCCTGGGGCAGGGGTGTGGGAGGAACCTCTGCAGCGCCTGCAGGGGACCCCTTGCTCTCCCCGCAGCCCCGGCCCTGCAGCCTGGCGAAGCCGTAAGTAGCCTGGGGGGCTGAGCACCCTCGTCCCGCGCCCGTGTCTGTGCCTCGTCCGCGGTCTCACTGTCCTCTCCTTTCAAGGCCGCGATGGTCCCCCCGCCACCGTCCTCAGGTACGTCGCCTCTTGCGGTCCCTTGCCCGCCCTAGTCCCTCGTCTCTGGGCGAAAATTTCAAAACGCCAGACTTGTCTGCAGGAGCAGCTTCCCTCTGGGGGTCAGCAGGGACAGCGGGGGTCTTGGGCTGGTGGCATCTGCCCCACACTCTCCATCCCTGGCAGCTTGGGGCACCAGCCCCCCTTCATCAGCCATGTCTTTCCTGCCTTGTCCTTTCATTTCTGAGATGCGTCTGTCTTGAGGGGAGCAGGACTCCCAGCCTGGGGTCTGGGTCACCCTTGCTGGGCCCTCCGCCAAGTCCCAGCTCTGTCTGAGCAGCGGGAGCCAGGAGCAGGTCAGCTGGGCATAGAGCCTTCCAGGGCCTTCTGAGGGCTGGTGCTTTGATTTCACCGGGTCAGGGGGCCCTGCCTCAGCTGCTGCAGCTGGTGCCATGGCACAGAGGCCGCAGGGCGCTCACCTGGCCCCTCCCCAGCCCACTCCCACTACTGTGCGGGGGACTGGAGCAGGGACAGGAGAGGACGTCTCTCTTCTCTCGGGACGGATGTTGCTTGGTCAAGGCTAGACCTGCATGTTCCCTGAAACACTTGCTGTGGTCTCTCTGAAGCAGCCTGTCCCCTGCACCTTGCATTTCCCAAGTCCCCTGTGTGTTCTAGGGCCACGGCCTGGGCGGGGTGGACTACGGAAGTGCGTCCTCCCACAGATCAGAGGCCAGAGTCAGAAACGGAGGCGGGGTGGGGAGCTCCCTCCACAGGCTCTAGGGAAGGGTCCTTCCTGCCTCTCCCGGCCTCGGGGGCACCTGGAGTCCCTGGGCTTGTGGCCACATCCCTCCAGCCTCTGCCCCTCTGCACACGCTTCTCCCCTGTGTCTTCTCAACTGTCGGCTTCCCTCTTGGGAGAATGGTAGGGTACCCCAGAGAACCCAGGAGGACCTCACCCCATGATCCTTAACTTAATCTGCAAAGACCCTTTGCCCAAGTCAGGTCACATCTGCAGGTTCCGGGGCTGAGAAGGTGTGCACTGGGGCCACCCTCCAGCCCTCTGCTGCGCCTGTGGCCCTGAGGGCCCTGCCCAGGCCGAGGTGCTCGGGACACGGGTCAGCTTACGGTCATCGCAGAAGCTCCTCGGCGGGGCTGAGTGAGGGCTGCTCCCCGTGGCTGCTCCACACCCCACTCGCATCTCAGACCCGACTGACCCCACCTGTGTCCAACCCTGTTTCAGTGCGGAAACCTCGCTACGTCCGGCGAGAAAGACCCTCGGACAGGGACAGGGGCCCCACTGCCGTCCCCTCGGTGGAGGCCCGGGTCAGCAACGTCTGACCTGGAAGCGCACCTGCAACTCTGCACGTCACCTGGAGGCCTGCACGGGGCAGGCGCCGCCCACAAGGCCTCCAGACAGGCCCGGGCTCAGCTCCGGTCTCCCAGCAACAGGCAGAGCGGACACGGCAGCTTCCTGAAGGCGCCGCGTCCTTCCCACAGCTGCTCGGCGTCACTGACCGGGAGCAGCGTCCCTGACGTGGCGGGAGCGAGGCTTCGAGGGTCTGGGCCCCCGGAGAGACCGTGAGGGACGGCAGAGCTGACCGCCCTCGGGCGCCCGGTGGGCACACATCCTGAGGGTGGTGAGGCCTTGCAAGGCCTTTGGGTGTTCCAGCCCGAGTCCAGACGGGTGGGGCAGGGGCTTGGAGCCGCCCTCGGGGCCGCGGGACCGCAGGGCTGTCCTGCTGTGGCCAGGACCCCAGCCCGTGGCCACGGGTTCCTGGTTTCCTGTTGACTTCTGTCTGCTTCTAAGTAGAAAAGCATTTTGTGGAAAAGTCAGAGACGCTGCTGCCCTCGCCTGCGCCCCACGAGCTGTGGGGCTTCGTCCCCCAGGATGGACACTGCCTGCGGTGGCTGGACGGCCAGACCCAGTTTCCCTGTCCTCCCCGACCTGTGGGCTCCTGTGGAGAAAGGGGTGTGCATGGCCCCCTCCCTGCACTAGGCCGGGCCTGGCTGTCCTCCCCAGACCCTCAGCTGCCACCCACGCTTTCCCTCTGTGTCGGGTGCACTCCGAGGGGCCGGAGGGGCTTGCGTGGTCCGCCCCGCCCTCTGCGTGGCGATGCCCAGCTCAGCACCTCCAGGCAGAGTCAGGCCTGTCCCGGTCCAGCTCTGAGAGCAGGGAGCCGGCTTCGAGTCAGTGTCCAATAAACGAGGGCTCTCTTCTCGCCCAGGCTCCATCTGTTCCGGGGGGGCGGGGCCCGAGTCCAGAGCCACTTCCCCTTGCGAGGACGGAGTCTGTGGGGGGCCTCAGCAAGGACCAGGACTGCTGCCCCAAAGCCCGAGCCTCAGCCGGGTGGGTTTCTGCACGCAGCCCCCACCACACGGGGCGTTATTCCTGGGAGAAGCGGGTTTGTTCCAAGCTGCCTCGTGCTAGCAGTGACCCAGTGGCCCCCAGCCCGTCAGGACCTGAGAGAAAGGCGTGGCTACTTCTCAGGGCTTTTCTGTGAAACGAGCCGGCCTGGTGGGAGCGTGGGGATTGTGGGTGAGCACAGGCCCCCGCAGAGACGGGGCACCCCTGGGGCCCAGGAGGAAGTGACAGATGGGCACAGTGTCAGGGGCTGGAGAGCGTGGGGACAGCTGTGCACTTGCAGGGGGTGGGCTGGCAGGACCCAGCTGGCTGTTGTCCGCTGTCACCTGGAGGGTGTGTCCTCAGACCCCTGCTCACCTGTCCCTGAGAACGTCTGGTCTGAGGTTTTACTGCCATCGGGCACTTGGGGGAACGTCTGCTGGGCCTGGGAGGGTGAGCAGGTGTGCCTGCACAGCCCAGAGGCCGCAGGAGGCTCCCCAAGGCTCTGCCACTGTTCTGGGGACTGGCCTGGGAACACGCTGCCCCCCTCTGGCCAGCAGCCTCCCCAAGAAGAGAGCCCGCCCACCTGCCCCTGAGCCCAGGTCGGCAGCCGCAAGGACTCCTGGCCAGACTGAGTCAGTTCCGGCGGGCCTGTGGGTCCAGTGGAGATAGGAAGGAAGGGGCGCTGGCGGGGGATCCTGGGGTGCTGTGGAGAAGAGCCCACCCGTGCCCCACAGCGTCCCTGACGTGGGGCGGGCCTGTGGGCACGGCTGTTCATGCGTGGTCCCTTCTGCATGAGGAGAAAGGGCCTCGACAGAGGCAGGGAGACCAGGGCGGGACTTCCAGCAGCTTCAGGGACCACAGCCCGTGTGCACATGGCCCCTGGGGTCAGGGGAGCCGCCAGCCCCAGAGGCTGGGAGACAGACCAGGGCCGGAACTCACCTCTGTCCCTGTGTTGGCACCAAGCCAGGCTTCTGATTTGGGGATAAAACAGGAAACAACCATGTTCGACCAGGACAGCAGGTCTGGCCAGTCAGGCCCTGGAGGTGCAGGCCAGGCAGTGGGGGGCCCCTCCCCAGTGCCTCCACCCCCTCCATCTCCCACCCAGAAACTCGGGGTCACTTCGGCCAGCTCCACGTCCCTCCCCCAGCCCACTCAAGGCCCTGCCAACTTGCTCTTTGAATTTGTCTCTCCTTCCCACCAGCCTCCTGCCCCACACTCGGACACCCGTCCACTGGCCTTTGAGTGCTCCAGCCGATGTCCAGACGGGTGGGCGCAGGGACGTGGAACCAGCCCGAGGCTGCAGTATCGCGGGGCTGTCCTGCTGTGGCCAGGACCTTTGAGGCCCGTGTGGCCTGGCCACTTGGGCACTGAGCCTCACCAGCCCTGTGACCATGGGGCAGGGAAGCGGGGCGGGGGGGCTGCACAGCCCCCTCCCCAGTTCCTCTCCATCCTGAGCCCCTCACCCAGCCCTTACCTGGACTCGCCCTAAGAGGCCAAAATTAGGCCAGTCTGTGGGGCATCAGCTCAGGCCAAATCAGGCAGGTAGGGAGCATGGGGGCCCGAGGGGCTGCGTCCCCGTGCACACCCCAGGATGTGAGCACGGTTCGGGGCGCAGACTGGAGGCACAGCTGCAGCTCATTCACTCCTCCATCCACCCAGAGGTCAGAGGTCAGCAGGAGGGAAACCCACAGCAGCGCTGGGAGGTGGACGCACAGGGCACGACTGCGGGGCTGTGAGGGCGGAGGTCCCGCCAGGGGCCTGGGCGTGGGCCCCAGAAGGAGCAGCCACAGCCAGAGGGGCAGGGCGGCCCAGCCAGCGGGGGGGACGGGGCTCTCCCTGCTGGGCAGGCCGTCTTGCCAGGAGCCCAGCGCCCAGGGAGCGGGCGGAGGCTGGGCCCCACCTCCTGCCTGGCGCAGGGGTGCAGGGGTGCAGGGCCTCTCCCCGCTGGTCCCGGGGGAGGACTGCAGTCCCGGCTGTGTCCCCAGCTGACAAGTGGGGTCAGCCCTGGACTCCCAGGCACCAGGTGGGCCTTGCCTCCCCACGCGGCCATTTCCAGTGCGGGCAGCACTAGGAGTTGTGGCCTGTTCCATCCAGGTCCCGGGGCTTGGGACCGAGGGGGGGCGTGAGGCACAGTCCTCTGCTCACCGGGCTCCGGGCACCTTGAGGGCTCAGGGCCCCACATCAGAGTCACGGCGGACAGAAGTGTCCTCCCCCTATCCGATGCGCCCCAGGGGAACCACGCCCCGTCACGCCTGCACACGCAGGGACGTGCTTGTGCCGTCACACTCGGCCAGGTTGACATGCTGCTGGGCACATTCCTCAGGCCTTTCTCTCCCTTGGCCTCCGGCCACTGACAGTCCCCTGAGGAGCTCGAGTGACCTCAGAGCTGGGATATTCCCAGGAGTCCTCCGGAAGGTGGACGGTGTCCTCGGAGCAGAGGGCTCAAGGATGCTTCCTGGAGGCAGCATGTGACCCCGAGTCAATCCCATGGGAACCCAAGCCCCCTCCTGCCCAGGCCGGCCAGGCCTCCCGGAGGCTCCTCCATGGAGCCCCTACCCTCTGACTTCCCCCCACCTCTCCGGGACCCCACCCTTCTCCAAGCCCCCATCCCTCTCTCTGAGTGCCCACCCACCTCCTCAGGGCACACAGAGGAGCGTGGTCCCTTCCTGAGTCCAGGTCCCCCTTCTCCCCCTCAGTCCCCCACACCCCAGCCTCGCATAAGAGCCTCAGCCACCGTCGTCCCCTCTCCCTGTGGCCGGCTCCTCCTGGAGCTCGGGGCCCAAGCAGCCTGCTCTGTGCACCCACCTCCTAATGCTGGTCTTCTTGCTGACCTCTGACCTCTGACCCCTGTTGGCTCTCAGGGCTTCTCCTAGTGCTTTTGGGGCTGGGCCATCTCGGGGGGTCCCAGCTGAAGTGGTCAGTGGTCACCTGCCAGGTGGGTGGGTGCAGCCTGCAAGTGTAAGGTCATCCCTGCACCAGGGTGAACACCCCTCCCCCACCAGTCCAAGGGTGGGGTCACAGGTCAGCAGCAGGGCCACTGTCCCGAGTCCAGCCCAGATGTGCGCTGAGGTGTGCTACTCGCGGCTGTGGGTGCAGGGGCAGGGAGGGCCGGGAGGGCCGGGAGGGCCGGGCGTCTGATGTAGGGACACCCCGGACACTGGTGGATGTGAGGGGCACAGTCCATGCCACTGGGCAAGCCGGGCCCCTGGAGCACAGCCCCCAGCAGGCCTGTGCACAGGTCTTGTGCTCCACCAGGACCCCCTGCTGAGTGGCTGGACTGCTCCCCACCCCCAGGAAGATTGGACCCCCTTGCTGGGTTGGGGGCGTCCTTGGGCTCCAGGGTCCCACATGTGCAACCCAGGGTGCCCCCAGCAGACATCCCCAACAAATCCCTGTGGCCCTCCTCATCCCTGACACGTCCTCACCTCTGACCCCACCCCTGGGGGTGCTCCCAGGCCTGACCTTTCGCCCTACTCCCTGGACCCAGAGCAGGGAGTTCCCGGGAACTGGGGCAGCAAAACCACAGGTTTGGGAGGCCATGCGTGTGGACACACGCTGGCCAGTGGGTTGTGTACAGGAGGGTGTATGAGGGAGATCACAGGTGCGAGAAGCTGACATCGGGAGCCCAGGGCTCGAAGGCCCCGGGGCCCTGAACGGGCTGCTCCAGCGTCCCAGGGACCCACCCCAGACTTGCTCCACTGAGCCACCCCAGCTCCACCCTCGGCTCTACCTCTCACCCCGGCCTCCCCGCCCTCTGCTGCCCAGCTCGCCAGCGAGAGGGCAGGCCAGCCAATCCCGAGGCCAAGGCCACACCCCTGGCCAGCCGCCCTGAGCGTATAAATACACCTGCCAGGCGCAGCCAGAAGTCACACCTGCCTCAGCTCTCTACCTGGAAGATCTCACGCAACGTCCTGCGCCCCGCCTGCCAGGAGCACAGCAGGGAGCACACCTGCCAGACCAGGGCCACCGAGACCGCTGCCGGAGCCCAGCCCGAGGAGGGACCTGCCAGGCGGTGCGCAGGCTGGGACCAGCCTGGGGAGAGGGACTGTCGCTGGAGCAGAGCTCGGAGCCTTGGAGCCTGGCCGTGGCCGGCCAAGAGGAACATGCCCCGGCCCCGCTGACCCCCGGCCGCCAGGTAAGTCCCGTTCACCTCTCACCTGTACAGGCTGAGGGTGGGGCAGCTTTTCGGGGGTGGGGCCCAGGAACCGGTTTTGTGGGGCACACCAGCCTGGGGGGGGGCAGCCCAGAGTCCCCCAGGCCGTCCAAGCTGCCGCCTCACCTGTGTCCACCACTGTCACCAGGATGTGGTGACACCTCCTTTTGCGATGCGGGGAGCACTCGTGACATCACGGTGATGTCACCGTGACTCATGGCAGTCAGTCGTGGTGCAGTGCCCTGGAGCCTTCCTGGCATGCAGGGCGAAGTCGTCCCACCGGCCCACCTGGACTCGCCAGGAAGTCAGGGTCGGGGTCACCTCTGGGGCCTCCTGAGCTCCACGGAGTCATGTGGCCGGGTCTGTCCAGGCGGCTGCCTGGGGTGGAGACCCAGGCCTAGTGGAGGGACAGGTCACCTGAACCTGGCTGGGGAGACAGACAGGGTCTCCTGTGGAAGTGGGAGGGGACTGCAGGGCGCAGCTGTGCCTCGGTCGAGAGGACAGACGGGCCCTCGGCACGAGCTGGCCCTTCAGCTCAGGGCACAGCTGGGAGACAAACCCTCAGTCCACTGGCCCCCACCCCGCTCAGGCCTCTCCGTCTCTGACAGACTGACCGTTGGCCCAGCCCCCAACCCCTGTCCTGACCTTCCCCAGCCCAGCGGGGTCCTCACACAGCTGCTTGAAAATTGGGTGCCCCCCAGCCAACCAGGTGCCTACACTTCACCTGACCCAGTGCTATGCCCTCCTGAGAGTCCGGCCTGCTGGCCGGGTGACCGGGCTGCCAGCACCCTCCTCAGTTGCTTCTCTGTGCCTTGCGTGGGTCACATGGCCTGGCCCAGGCTGGCAGAGCCTGGACGTGAAGCGTGACTACTGTGGGTAGTTGTCATCGTAACTTCATCTCTGCCGAGGGCGCCGTGGGCAGGGCAGGGCCAGCAGGAGGTGTCCACCGGCCAGTCAGCCGGCACCCTGGTGCACACGGTGCCCGTTCCCAGACCCGCCTGGGCTGCTCGGGCCCCAGCACGCAGGGTGCCACCCCTGCCTCGGCCTGTGGGGGGCGGGAGGGGTGGGGCAGGGCACAGGTGGGACTGTCTAGAGGTGCCCACCGGTGGGCAGTGTCCTTCCTGGGATCTTCGGGTCTGGTGCAAAAGAGAGGACAGGCTGACCTTGCAGGAAAGGGGCAGCCTGTGGCCACTCACAACCTTCTATTTGTTCCCCAGCTCAGAGCCATGTCATCAGACCAGCAGGTGTGGCACACAGCCATGCCGCCCCCCCGTCGGAGCAGCCCCTCAGCCAGAGGCCCCAGGCCCCCCGGCTCGGCCAGCGGCACCAGGTCCCCTCAATCGGCCAGCGACCCCAGGTCCCCCGTCTCGGCCAGCGGCCCCAGGTCCCCTCGATCGGCCAGTGACCCCAGGTCCCCCGTCTCGGCCAGTGGCCCCAGGTCCCCCAGCTCGGCCAGTGACCCCAGGTCCCCCGTCTCAGCCAGCGACCCCAGGTCCCCTCGATCGGCTAGTGGCCCCAGGTCCTCCGTCTCGGCCAGCGACCCCAGGTCCCCTCGATCGGCCAGCGGCCCCAGGTCCCCCAGCTCGGCCAGCGACCCCAGGTCCCCCCGATCGGCCAGCAGCCCCAGGTCCCCCAGCACCCCTGGCTCGGAGAAGGTGGCCTCCCCACTGGAATGCTCCATCTGCTTCTCGGGCTATGACAACATGTTCAAGACGCCCAAGGAGCTGTCCTGCACTCACGTCTTCTGCTTGGAGTGCCTGGCACGGCTGGCGGCCGCACAGCCAGCAGACAGACCTGGCAGCGAGGCTGTGCCCTGCCCATTCTGCCGGCAGCCCACGGCTGTGCCCGCTGCCGGGGCACCTGCGCTGAGCACCAGCCGCCAGCTGCAGGCCAGGATGCCGGCGCACCTGCGGCGGGAGGAGCCCGTGTGGCTGGAGGGCACCAAGCTGTGCTGCTGTCCCCCACCCTCTGCACCCGGCCTCCCGGCGCCCGGCTTCGTGTGCGTGGACGTGGGCCTGAGCAAGCCCGCCGAGCCCGCTGTGCCCCCACCGCCCCCAGCCCCCACGGGCCCCCGGGCCCGCCTGGCCCGCTGCTGGGCCCGCTTCGGAGACTGGAAGCGCATGGCGCTCATCACAGCCCTGCTGCTGGTCTTCCTCTGCGTGGTGCTCTGGCCCGTGCAGTGTGCGCTCAAGACCGGGAGCCTGCACTGCCTGTCCCGGCCGCCTGCCCACGCCACCCCGGCCACCGCCACCTTCGCGGCCACCTTCTCTCCTGGGCCCTTGGCTGACAGCTAAGGTTGTCCCACACTGTGCGCTTGGGTCCTCAGCAGCTGGAGCCAGTCCCCAGGACCCCAGAGGAACCCTGACATCTCTGAAGACCCCATTTGGCTCACCTGTCCCCCCCACTCTAGGGGGCCAGGTCCTGATGGGGTAGACAAAAGGCTCCCCAAGCCTCCAAGAACAACGGGCTCCTATGAGCCCCAGAGACTCCCCCCAACTCCCATCATGCAGTTGGGGGAACAGACCCAGGAGAGACTCCTGGCCAGGCCCCCCCCTGACATGCTATGAACTGCCCACAGGGGCAGCCCCTTGCGGAGAAGGGGGCTCGCCACCCTTATCTTCACATTTCACCCACGGCTCCCTCCCCAAGACCTTGCCCAGGCAGGGCTGGCCCCTCTGTGGGGTGGGGGTGTGACCCGGCTTTCCGAACAGGGACAGAGGGCAGCGGCAGAGAGCCCAGCCCCCAGTGCCCATCCAACCCTTCTGAATTGTACATTTTTAAATAAATTATTTTGTATCCACGTGTGTTAAGGTGTCCTCACCTGTGTGCCCTCCCTGCACCAGCGAGTCCCCCCTGCAGAAAAGCCCCCGGCCCACCCCCGCCCCAGAGAGCCTCATTCCCGGGGACACCCCCACTGGCTCCAACTCCCAGCAGCCCCTAGGGCAGATGGACCCAGGTTCTAGGGGGTCCAACTCCGGTCCCCTCGGGACTGTGGATGGGCTGGAGCAGTTCTCCACTTGGCTGCTCCCAGGCCCGTGAGGCAGCCCCAGGGAGGTGGGGAGGGCACAGAGCACCTGGGACGGGGGAGGCCTTGGCCTGATCCCGCGCCCTCCCCCACCCTCAACCATGGTCACACTGGGCTGCACCCCCAAGAAGTCACAGCCTTAGTCATGCTGGGAGCCTGATTGGGGGGGCGCAGAAACCCACGGCCCCCCAGGAGCCGAGGACTAAGCGTGCACAGATCCACAGACCGTGGGTCCCTCCAGCAGACCCTCCTGGGTGAAGCCCCCCAGCCCCTACCCACCCCACCCGGCTTTGCCATCAGCCCCAGGTACCCCGCACCACCAGGCTGGCATGGCCAAGAAAGGCCGGGCCGGTTCTGGCTCTCAGCCTCCTCACCCTTCACCCCAAAGCCCCAGACTTCCTGCTCCACCCAGCTGGGCCTCTGCAGGGGTGGGGAGACCCTGGAGAAGGGGGGCTCTTGTGGGGACCCAAACGCACACTTTTTCCAGGCCCCAACAATGACACAGAACTGAGAACAGGGCATTTTACTGAGAACACCACAAAGCCACAGGACCACTGGGGGTGGGACGGTGGTGCGACCACAGACCACATGACAGTGACCACAGCCGTCACACACCAGTCAGCCATGCACACATGGAGCCTCGCCCCGGTCACGGCAGGTCCAGGCATGTGAGTTGCACTTGTGGTCATGTGAGCATCTCACTCATTTATCCACGTGTGACAGGAATGTGATGGCCTGGGGCAGGCCTGGACACGGCAAGGACTGAGCCACTGCTCGGCCGCATCCAGACACACTCTGTGGGCAGGATGGAGGGTGGCTCTGGAGGTCAGGGGTTGTGTGCAGGACGCAGGGGGGCCAGGTACAGCATGGACTGTCCCCCTGCTCACTGCTCACCCGTGTCTCACACAGGATGACACGCAAACGTGCTCCACGGGGTCACACGGGGTCAATGTGTTGTGCAGGTGGTCACTGGCCTCCCACACTGAGAGACAAACCTCAGCCCTGAACCGGCCTCGTCCACCCTCTCCTGGGAGCCCCAGAGGGATCTCCCAACTGCCCCTCCCCATTTCGAGGTGTCCGGGCCTGTGGGGAGGCTTCTGGGGGGCAGGCTCCAATCTCCTGCAGCCTTTTTTTGTTTTTTTTTAAGAGAGAGAGAGAACCGACAATAGGCTGCCTCCTGCACGACCCTTACCAGGGATGGAGCCCACGACCCAGGCATGTGTCCTGAACTGGTGACCTTTCGTGCTCGGGATTCCGACCAACCAACCCCCTGAGCCACACCGGCCAAGATAAACAGTCCTGTTGAAGAAAGCGAGGCCCGGCTTCCTGGGCTTGGGACTCCTGGGGGCGAGGGAGCTGCAGCTGCACCCGGCGGGGGCCCTCCGGGCCCCTCACCTCCCTGGAGGCTCAGCAGGTCCTGCGGGGTCCTGCGGGCAGAGACCCGGTTTTGCTGGCTTCCGCACCCACGCCCTAGTCGCGCCCCCCGCGACCTCCCGGCGGGGACACCGTCCTGCCCCTGCGGGACCCAGACTGGTCCCGCTCCCGACGCCCCAACTCACACGGCGGGCGCTGGGGACGGCGCAGTCCGGGGCCGCGGCTGCGCGGCGCCCGCGTTCTGGTAGCCGCGCTCCTCCGAGGGCCGCGCTGGGAGTGGGGGCGCCGGTCAGCAGGTTGATGCCGCGCAGGCCCCGCGCCGGCCGGCCCGCGCCCGCCTGCTGGCGCAGGTGCAGCTGCCCGCCCGGATGCACCGCGCCCGGGACCCGACGGGACTGCGCTGCGCCGCCCCGGCCGGGCCGTCTGGAGGCGTTGATGGCGCGGCCCGGCCCGGGGCAGCGCGCGCTCCAGGGGCGGCCGGCCGGCGGGTGGGCGGGGCGGGCTGTGTCCGAGCGGCGCCCACCCGCCCGCGGAGGACGGCCACCAGGATGTCGATGGCGCCGGTGTCCGAGGCCGGCGCTGTGGCGACCCGCCAGAAGGCCCCGGTGAATTCGCGGGACGAAGCCGCGGCCCTGTCCCGGGTCCACCTGCAGTGCCCGCGTGGCCCTGCCCCGCCTCCGTCCGCACCTGCACCTCGTGGCCCCGCCCCCCCGCCCCCGCCCCCGCCCCTCCTGGGTCGCACCTGCGCGCGCCACCCCTTGGCCGGCGGCGGGCACGCCTCTCTGGGCCCCGTTCACCTCTGCCTGGAAGCCCGGAGCCGGCAGGCCCGGGGGGGGGGGGGGGGGGGGGGCGGGGGGGGCGGGGGGGGGCGCACACGCGAGATCGGGACAGCTGAGGTCCTGCTGCTGCTTCACTGTGGTGGAGGCTCCTGGGGAGCACAGGCTGCGGAGCGCCATCCGGCCACTGTGGGCCGTTCTCAGGTGGGGCCCGCCTCAGAGCAGGTGCAGAAGGGGTTAATAGCAGGGCCAACCCTGGGGTTGGGAGACGAAAAGAGGGGATTCAGGGTTTGGGGGGCCCACAGATGGTCCCAGGGGGCCCAGGTGCCAGGTGAAGGGAAGAGGGAGCAGATTTGGGGTGCAGTGATTTGGGAAGGGCCAAATGTGGGGGTCTGCAGGACTCCCCTCACCCCCAGAGGAGGGGTCTGCAGGGAAAAAGAGGCACTGCTGACATACAAAGGGGACTGGAGCTGCTGACATGCCCAGGAGGGGCCGGCGGCGGCTGCGTCTGAGGCCTGTGACCACTGCCCAGCAGAGCCCCAGCAGCATTGTGCCCGCTGGGCTGAGGGCACTGAAGCCAGCAAGGCCGGTGGGGTTGGGTGGAGCCAGGTGGGACCCTCCTCACCCCCAGCACAGACCTGGGGACTCCCTGACCACTCTGACTCCAGCCCCACACTCCTGTTGCCCTCCAGGCTCACTTGTCTGGCCACCACACCTGCAGCTCCCGCACAGGAGTCCCGGGCTTGTCCCTCAGCCACCTGACGTGCGCACACAGCCATGCTCTCGGCTGCCACGCGGCTCTGGCCAGTGTCGGACACACTCCTTCTGAAGACAGAAACAAGGCCAGACACCAGCTCAAGTCCAGGTCGTGACGATGACACGTGTTCTGGTGCACCAGGGTCCGGGGGGCAGACACAGGGTCTGTGCACAGCCCGGGTGGCAATGTACTCCTTGCCCAGTCTGTGGCCTGGCTTCTCTGGGTCACTCTGGAAGGGGATGGGTCAGCTGCCTGCTGTTTCCAGGAACAGGGGACAAATGCAGTCTATGCAAATCGCATGCAAAGTAGCCCCAGGTGGTCCACGCAGTTCCTGCCGCAATGGGCTGGGAAGGAGCTTAGGACCCCTGTCAGGCCAGCCCCTCTGAGGGCCCCTTGGGGCGGCCGAGGTCTACAGTCTGGGGCCCTGGCTCTTCCTGGGAGGTGCAGCTGGCCAGGCACACCTACGCTGACGCTGAGGTAGTCCGCTCCAGGCGCACTGTCATCCACCCCGTGCGGGTGACACAGGTGGCATCAGCTGGAAAGGGAAGATGCCATCAGGTCTCCAGGTGAGTAAGGAGCCCGAGTGTGCGAGAGGGAGCCTCACACGGGGGGGGGGGGGGGGGGCCCCCTCCCCCAGGCCCCTCATAGGGAAGGATGTTCTTGTATCAATTCTTTGGCTTGTTCTCCTTCCTCAGATACAGGAGCCTCCCTGCTGCTGCCGCACCTGGCTGGACCAGGGGGCTTCAGCCACAGCTGACCCTTCCCCAGAGCCTGTGACACCCCCCACCACACCCTCCCCCTCCCCCAGCCTTCAACACCGGATAACACCCCTGACCACCCCTCCCCCAGCCTCAACACTCGACAACACCCCTCGCCGCCTCTCCCCCAGCCCACAACACCCCTCATTGCCCTTCCCTGCACCCCGCACCTCGACGTCTTCCCAGAAGCGCTGCTTGGCCATCTCGCTGGTGTCCGTGGCCTGGCTGAGCTCCCACACGGGGCTTGAGGGGCTGACAGGGAGAGACCCGTGTCCAAGCTTAGAAGGGTCCCACAGTGCACTCCCCGCGACAGCTGTCCAGGCCTACACCCGCCCCCTGCCACCTGCCCCTCTGCCACCCAGCCCCCTGCCCCCCCCCTCTGTTACCCACCCCCCGCCCCCCTGCCACTCCCCTCTGCCACCCACCCCCTGCCATCCCCCCTACCACATTGTCCTTTGGCTGCCTGCGCCCCCTTCCTGGGCGGGGCTGTGCTCGCATTCCTTGGACCCCGCAGGGGAGTAGTCCACTCTGGATCCCAAGGTTCATGTGTGGGCTGGGGGACACCACGGCCCCGACTTCACCATGGGGTTCTTCTTGCAGCCAGTTCCCCGAGGGAGTCGATCCCCCACCTCCCCATCTCCAACATCACATTTCCCATCTGGCTGTGGGGGCAGCAGTGAGGGGCCTGGCTGGCCGCCTCTACCTCCCAGGAGTCACACCCCTACCCTGACCACTGTCTCCTCCCTGGAAGCCAATCGTAATGTGGGTGACAGGTTGCTAGCCGTCCACCTGACTGGCTGCTGAGTGAGCCCAGGCAGCACCCAGCCCCAGGCTTACTCTGACCCTCCTGCACCAGGCGATGCCCAGACAGCCCTCCCTCAGCGGCCTGCCTTACAGTGCCCGTGGTACCACTGGACCCGGCGCGGGGGTGGGAGCACAGGTGAGACTGGGATCACAGCCTGGCCAGGTGAGGGGCACAGACCCACCTGCAGCCAGAGGCTCCCAGGCAGACAGACCGGCCCACCCACTCCAGCCGCCATCTGCCTTGCCCACCGCTCTGATCGCCCCCTTCCCAGGAGCCTGCAGGAGGCAGGGCAGCGCTGCAGGGCCTGTGTGGCCACCAGGTGGCAGCCTGGGCCCCAGCGAGGAGAGGAAAGGCAGCCTTCCGGACCAGCCCACCCCCTTCTGCCCGGCAGACGCACCCTCAGGCCTCACAGTGCAGGTGGGGAAACCGGCTGCTTTGTTTTTCTGCATGACACTCGTCACCTCCTCGACATCCATATTTGTTATCCATCTCCCACTCGAGAATTTAACCTCCACAGTGTCAGCCATTGGTCTGTGCATGCTGTGCCCCAGGCCCGAGAGCAAAGGAAGCTGTGAATGAGCAAGCCCATGGGTGGTGGGCGGTGCACAGGCAGGTGGTGTATACACAGGTGGGTGGTGGGTGGTGCACAGGCAGGTGGTGTACCCACAGGTGGGTGGTGGGTGGTGGGTGGTGCACAGGCCGGTGGTGTACCCACAGGTGGGTGGTGGGTGGTGGGTGGTGCACAGGCCGGTGGTGTACCCACAGGTGGGTGGTGGGTGGTGGGTGGTGCACAGGCCGGTGGTGTACCCACAAGTGGGTGGTGGGTGGTGGGTGGTGCACAGGCCGGTGGTGTATCCATAGGTGGGTGATCAGGCCTCATCCTCAGCAGCCTCTGACCCACACTTCCTGACTCTCCTGGATGAGGTCCTCTGCTGGGCCCCCACTGTGCCCTACACGAGTCTGCATGTCCACATGTTGTCTCTACCTCCAGCCCCCACCTTGGGCTCTGAGCTTCAAATGCATAGACGCAGATCTTCTCAGTGTCTGTTTGGATCTCAGCATCTTCACCTTGACCTCTGCAGAATTCAGCCTCCTGAGAGCCCGAGTCCCATGTCCCGGCTGGTCTCACTCGGTGAAGGGGCCCCTGCTCCCCTGGCAGCCGTGACCCCTTCTAGCGGTCCCCTCTTGTCCTACACCCTACACGTGCCCAGGCCTTCTCCATTACCTGGGCCCAGCACAGTATTAATTCCAGGTCTCCAGGCCTCATCCCTGGAACTGTAGCCAAAGACTAGGATTCTCAGAGCGGCTAATGCTGGCCGGTGGCCCTCTGTGCTGTCACAGGAGACGCAGCCTGTCCAGCAGCCCCACGCCGAGTGGGCAAACTCTGGAAGTCCCCCGTTCTCATCCCTGTCCACACGCCTTCCCTGTGTGCCAAGAGCAGACAGACAGACACATGCTTGTCCTCCTGTGTCCTCACCACTGAGTGAACACCCACCGGTCAGGCTCTGTTCTGACCTCAGCGGCTCCCCAGGGTCCACGTATCAGTGTAGAGAGGCCAAAAGCTTGGAGGACCAGTCCAGGACCACCGGGCACGAGCAGGACTCCTGCAGGTTTTCCAGGGAGCGTGCTTCTGACCAAGGGGTTCACACAGGAGTACGGGCTCAGAGGGGGGAGGCGAGGGGCAGCCCAGGGCCTGAGTGGCCACCAGCCCTGGGTGCCTCCACAGTATCCTAATGGATGGGTTGGCCAGGCCCTGCTCTCCTGGGCGCAGGTGGGAGGGTCCCGTGTGATACCCAAACCTTCGCCCTAACCCTCCCACGGCGAACGCCCCCTGCCTGCCCCTCTGACCTCAAGGCCCCTGCCCCGCTGCTCACTCGGGCACTTTGCTCACAGGCACTCATGCCCCCCACCCCACCCCACCTCCCCAGCGAAGCCCCCGTCCTGAATCTGCCACCCTCCCTCACCTGGGCCCTCAGCCCTGAGATCCCCGTTGGGCGTCAGGAACTCCAAGGCCTCTCCTGCCCAGAACCACCCCCACCACCTTTTCAGGAGTGGTGCCTTGGGGTGCTGCTTCCAACCCGACCCCGACCCCACCCCCTGAAGGTCCTGCCTGAGCCCACCCTCCGGGAGGCCCGGTGCCCTCTCCTGACCTCGTGCGGAGGCTCCGCCCTCCCTCCGCGCGGCAGGAAGCCCCGCCCCCACGCACAGCCCCCCCCGCCCCCCCCCCCCCCGCCAGCCTCCTGGAGCCCAGCCCTCCAGACACACCAGGGGCGTCCAGCCCAGCACAGGCCCATCCATCCCACCCCAAACCCCTCCTTCTCTCCATTTGCACCTGGGCCCCGGCACTGGGTCCCCCTGGGTCCCCCGCAGTAGGCACCTTCTTCAAACGGAGCCCCAAGGTCAGGACCGCCTGCTCCCACCCCCCTGACCAGTGGGCTGTCCGTCCTGCACCCCTCGCAGCTGCACCCTCCTGCCCGCCTGGGCCTCCACAGCTCGCTCCGCACCTCCTCACCCTTCAGGTCTGCGTGGGAGGCGCAGCTCTTCCTGGAGCCCCCCCCCACAGCAGCCACACCCACACGTGTCCCCAAACAAGCAAGGTAAGGAGCAAGGGACAGAATGTAAACGTCCACTGGCGGATGGGTCCCCTGGGTGCTGGGCTTATAGGTGTTTTTGTTTCCGTTTTTTTTTATTGTATTGACACAAAGTAAAATAAAAAACCAGTTATCTTGAACACATCAGGAGTTCCAGGGAGGGTGCCCCACAACCCTCCCTTCTTTCCTAATCCTGGTCTGAGGCTCACAGTGCTCCACGGGCCCAGCCCCTCGGGGCGCCCTGCTGAGGGTGTCCCAACAGGGCTGGCGGTGGGCCAACCTGGGCCAGTGAGCTCAGTGGTTGAGCGTTGACCCTGCACCAAGAGGTCGCTGGTTCGATTCCCGGTCAGGGCACATGCCCAGGCTGTGGGCTGATCCCCAGTGGGGGGCGTGCAGGAGGCGGCCAATCGATGTTCTCTCTCATCGATGTTTCTATCTTTCTCTCCCTCTCCCTTCCTCTCTCTCAAATCAATAAAGAAAAAGTTTTTTTTAAAAGGTCCCTGCCACCCCCCAGGTCCCTTCTCCCCAAACCGACCTGGCTCCCCCAAGCCCTACCTAGTGCAAGCCCACTCTCCCTGTGCTCAGACAGCCCTGGGCTGACCCTGCGCAGACACCCATGCACACACCATGCACACAAGGGGCGGTGTGTGGGGGTGCTGCCTGCATGCCACCCCAACGAGGCCACCCGGAGTGCCGTCCCACAGCCCCGCCCGCCCAGCTCCTTCACAAGTGGGCATGCTCACGGCAGGGGTCTCCCCAACAAAAGCAGCTCCACCCAGGGCAGGGCCCTCCGGAAGCTAAAAAGCCACAGGAGAGCAGCCAGCCAGGAGGGGCTGGAGGGCCGACACACAAACACCTTTGAACGTGTTCAGACTTTATTTCAAGGTGATTGACACAGACACAAACTGGAGTCAGTAATGGGACACAGGGGGCGCCCTTCAGCCCATAGGCCTGACAGCCCAGCCCCAGCGGTGGCCGTTGGGACTGTCACCCCCACCGGAATGTAGGTGCGGTGGGGGGATAGGATGGGTCAGCATGAGACACAATGTTGCAGTTTAAGGCATTTCCGGCCTGCAGCCGTCTCTGCCGTCCCTGCACCCACTCCCAGGCCTTGGTCCAACACCCAGCCGGCCCCGGTCATTCCTGAAGAGGACAGCCACCCCTTGGCCTGAACTGGGTGCGAGCTTGCCGTACGGTGTCCTCAGCTGCTCTCGGCCAAGGTGACAGCCCACTGCCCAGGTGTCAAGTAAAACCGATGCGCTGAGAGCTATGGTGGGTGGTCAGGCCTGGACATCTGTCCTCGAGAGGGGCCGCTAGCTGCCCCGGCACGCGGGCAGCGGGCGCCAACCACACCACACAGTGGTCCACGCCCTCTCTGGGCTCCTCACGGGCTCTGGGGTGTCAGGGAAGGAACACGGTGGTGTCCAAGGTGGCTGGGCGGGCGGGGCCAGCTGAGGGTCAGGGTCCCCGGAACAGGCCTGGGCCTGGGGACACAGCTGGAGCCGGGACGCCATGTGGCCCCGACAGTAACGTCATTTCTAGTCACAGTATTGGCACAGGAGGTCCAGGAGGGGCCGCCAGCACCCGCTCAGTGGGAGCCTCAGATGGTCCCTCCACTCCAGCAGCAGCTTCCTGGTCTGGGGAACAAGACTGGCCGGAGGAGCTCAGGGGGTGGGGTCTGCGGCCAGGCAGGGAGGCGCAGCGGGCGGGCTGGGAGTGGCCTGCAGGGCAGGGGTGTGTCCCCAGGCTGGGTCCCAGCCACGCCCTCCAGGAGTCCCTCCGCATGAGTGTCTCTGCAGCTCGCCTGCCTGGACAGGAGGGAGGCCGGGCCAGGAGTCCCTCCAGCCAAAACACAGGCAAGAAAATCATATCAAAAAGCAACGAGTTTACAAAAATATAAAATAATTACAGCAGAGCGGGCAGTGGGGGCGGTGGCCGGCTCACGGGGACGCACAGGGCCGAAGCGGCGGCTTGGTGACCGCGTCCTCCAGCAGGTGCAGCGGCCGCCGGCCCACCACCACGTCCCGCAGGCAGCCCACGAAGCCGGTGCCGTAAGCCTTGGGCAGCGCCGGGCCCAGGGGCAGTTTCTCCAGGCCTCCTGCAGGACAGACACAGGAAGGCCACCAGCTGTGACTCACAGGCAGAGGGACCAGGGGCACCTGGTGACACGGTGAGTCCCCTGGTGCCCTGGGGGGGACCAGGTGACCAGCAGACACATTCTAGCCTCCTAGACCCACACTGGACTGGCAGAGACTGAGACAGGAGGGAACAGAACCTGACACGACCCAGCCCGTCAGCGGCTGAGCGGGGCGGATTCAGGGGCCCCCTTAGTGCTGGCCCGCAGGGATGGGATCTGTCCTCGGAGGTTCTGTGACCCTTCCCCGGCCTCCCTGCACACACTCACCTAGCCACAGGGCTCCGTCTGTGTCCAGCTGCGTGGCGCCCAGCGGGGAGGAGCCGGTCACGGGGGCCTCATTGCCCACCTGAAGGGAACCTTCCCTCTGCTCCCTGGGGGTGGGGGGAAGCCATCAGGTGACTCCAGAGGGCCCACCCTACCGCCTCCAGGTCCAGAGCCCCATCAAGTGTACCCCTGGGGGCCAGCACAAGGTGGCACTGACCCCGAGGAGAGTGGCCGGTGGTCAGGTGGGGGCTGCCCTGGAAGGGACCCAGGCTCAGAGCAGAGGGACATGTCCCCAGCCAGCAGGGACCCCTTTCCGATCACAGGTCCCGAGCACAACTGTGATGTCCTCCTGCCCCTCCCAGCTGTGGCCTCAGGTCAGGCAGCTGGCCCCACCTCCCACCAGCCACCAGTGACCCAGCGGCCCCCGTGAGCAGGTGCAGGCACCTCGGCCAACACCCTTGTGTGCGCTGGGCTCCCTGACCTGTGCACCCTGACCCGCAGCCAGCGGTTGGTGTTGACGGGCACGGTGGAGCGCAGGACCACGGGCTGGGAGCCCAGGTCGTAGGCCAGCTGCAGGCGCCCGTCCACGATGGCCAGCGCGAGGTAGTCGGCCCGCTCCGTGGCCTTGCCGCTCCACAGCACCAGCCCCTGCGTGGCCTCGGTGCGCAAGCTGAGCTCCAAGTGGTCGCTCTGCAGCACCTTCTCACTGCGGGGCGGAGGGCTGGTCAGGCCTCCCAGGGGCGGGGGAGGGTGGGCAAGGCAGGAGGGCAGGCACCAGAGTGGACGGATGGCCGAGAGATGGACGGAGGGAGGGAGGGCCAGGCCGGCAGACGCGAGAGGGGGGCAGAGGGACCGCTCAGCAGACAGTCGAGTGATGGGGAGACAATGGGTAGAGAGCAGGGGCCGGGTGCCACGTGCTTACCTAGGAAGGGCCCCGGAATCTGGAGCTTTGGGGCTTAGAAGCAGGAAGAGAGGGAGGCAGGTGAGCAGGGAACACAGCTGTGGTGCAGGGTGGGGACCCGCAGCAGCCCCCCCCCCACGTCCAACTGTGGGAGGCGGGAGGAGCAAGCATCCTCGGAAGACAAGGACCCCGCCATCCGCTCCACCCACCACGGCGCCAGCGACAGCACCCGGGCCACACACGTGCAGACACAGCAGGCCGGCAGGGCCCGGGGGGGCAGAGTCCAGGAGGCAACAAGGGGTGGCAGGGTGGAGACCAGGGCTCCCTGCCCCAGAAGACCCCACACACGTGGGGGAACACACAGCCCGTGGACGCCCATGTGGCGAGGGCACTGGGGGCAGTGAGTGACCCCCTTCATCCGGGGAACGGCAGCTCCCCACTTTCAAGCTGGGGAGCAGCCTCGTGCGGCACTAACAGCCACCCCAGTCCTCCACGGGGAGGGAAGTCCCACCTCTGCCTCGGCTGTGAGCAGAGAGCAGGTGAGTGAGTGAAGGTGGAGGAGCCCAGGTGATACTTACGCTGGGATCTCATTGGTCAGTTCGCTTGGAAACAAAGAGACAGAGAGGTGAGAGGCAGGAGGGAGGGGAGCGGGCCGGTGGAGCGGCTGCCCTTGCTGGGCACGGAGCCAGGTCTCGCTCAGCACGGCGCAGGGACAGCCGGGGCACGGGGCACGTTACCTCTCCGTCACAGCGTTGAGGTACTCGATGTAGGTGTGTCCGTCGAAGGCCAGGGCGTCCAGGTCCCCCGCAGACTTCTCCAGCAGCCCTGAGAGACAGGGGGTGAGGGCGGGTCCGCCTTGCGGGCCCCTCGCGGCCTCGGCCCAGGAGCTCACCATTCTCGCAGTGCAGCCCCGAGAAGCCCTCAGGGCACAGGCACTCGTAGGAGGCCTCGCGGGGGACACAGGAGGCCCCGTGGAGGCAGGGGTGGCCTGAGGCGTGGGTGCAAGGGTGGTCTGTGAAGGAGGACACGTCCACGGCCCGCACCACGTGCTCCTGGGTCAGCAACTGTTGGCCTTTCAGGGAGACCTGGGGGACAGGGGGATGAGCCATGGCCCCACCCACTGCCCTCCCCGCCAGGACAGCCCCCCGGGACGCCCCTCACCGCGTACCAGCTGGATGGCCCCATCGAGGCCAGAGGACACGGCGGCAGCCCGGGCCAGCTTGCTGAAGTCGGGGGCACCCCCCAGGTAGAGTGGCTCCTTCAGGTTGAGGACGGTGTGCGGCACCTGAGGGAGGTGCGGGGTGAGGGTGTGAGCCACCCGGGCAGGGACGGACCTGCACCCGCCCAGGCCCCCCGCCCTCCGGCCTATCTAGGAGGCAGTTAATCACAGACGTGGCCAGTGTGGGGCTTAGTGGCGGAGGTGGGGCTACTCTAGGAAGGAGGAACGGAGGCGAGAAGATGGCAGCAGGACCAGTGGGAGACGGTACCTTTCGGGATTTCTGAGATCCGGAGAGCGGGGTGGGGGTTGCAGAGCAAGGCCAGAGAGCAGAGAGCAGACAGACAGAGGCACAGGACAGACGGGAGAGAAAACAGTTCAGTGAGAGCTGCGTGGTGTGGCTGCCGCACTGCCCAGGAGGAGGAGGGGGCCCGGCCGGGGGACTCACCGGGGACTCCCCCAACACGCGGGGCCCGTCGCCAACACGCATGGCGCCCTTGCGGCCGTTGCGCTCCAGGGAGACTCGGGTCCAGGTGCCCAGGACCACCGGTTCCTTGCTCCTGGTGAGGAGGGGCACCGTGAGCCCCGCGTCTCCCTGGCAGGGGCCTGAGTGCCCCCACCACGGCCCTCCCACGCACACACCTGATGACGGCCGCCCCCTTGCCCAGGTCGTAGCGGAACTCCAGGTGGCCGCCGTGCAGGGCCAGCGACACGAAGTCCCCCCTGCCGTCCGTCTTCTGCCCGTTGTAAAGGAGCAGTCCGCTGGGGCCCCGGGCCAGGAACACCACCTCCAGCACCATCTTCTCCCTGGGGGCACGGCGACGTTCACGGGGGACAGGCGCTGGGGTGCTGCCCCTCATCCCCCCGTCTGTCCCACTCACCCCAGGTCCCGCTCAAAGGTTTGCAGGCCTTTCAGCTCCAGGTAGGAGAAGCCGTTGAAGTCCGCCAGGAAGGGCCGGGGATCGTTCCGTTCCGAGACTTCGGAGGGTGAGAGAGGGGTCACCTGGGGCACTGGGCCCTGCACCCCCACTGCTCTGAGCCCTGGCCTGAACCTGAACAGAACCCAAACCCAAATGCTGGACCTAACCCTCTTGCCTGCCCTGAGGCCCGGTGCCCACCTGTTTGGCAGAGAGCGCCCCCTCGTCCCAGGGGGCAGTCACACGCAGCCTCACCCCCCGGCAGCACGCGGCAGGGGGCAGCCCCATGGCAGGGGTTCGGCTCACAGGGGTTCTCCTCAGCACAGGTGGGGCCTGGATGGAGACAGGAAGGGTCCCCAGGAGGCTCGAGCCCTGCCCAGACACACGGCACCCCCAGTCCCGGCCCTGGCCCCAGACACACGGCACCCCCAGCCCGGGCCCTGGCCCCGGACACACGGCACCCCCAGTCCCGGCCCCAGACACACAGCATCCCCAGCCCCAGCCCTGGCCCCGGACACACGGCACCCCCAGCCCCGGCCCCGGACACACGGCACCCCCAGCCCCGGCCCTGGCCCCAGACACACGGCACCCCCAGCCCCGGCCCTGGCCCCAGACACACGGCACCCCCAGCCCCGGCCCCGGCCACACGGCACCCCCAGCCCCGGCCCCGGCCACACGGCACCCTCAGCCCCGGCCCCGGCCACACGGCACCCTCAGCCCCGGCCCCGGACACACGGCACCCTCAGCCCCGGCCCCGGACACACAGCACCCCCAGCCCCGGGCCCAGGCCCTGCTCTCACCGAAGCGGCCAGGGGGACACTGACAACGAAACATGCCGGCCTCCAGGGCCTGGCAGGGGGCACCCCCATGGCAGGGGCTGGGCTGGCAGGGGTGGGCCCCGCACACGCCCACGCCGGAGCTCCTGGTGGCCCCTTGCCAGTTGCTGAGCTCCAAGCGCTGGTTGTTGACATCCAGCTCGCGGATGCAGCCCCTCAGGCCGACGCTGACAGAGGTCCGCTCGAGCACCCTGCCCGGGAGGAGGGTGAGGGTGAGGGTGAGGGCTGCTCCCTGGGCCCCCTTTGGGTGCTCACAGGCGGCCAGTCCCCAAAGGGTCAAGGGTTGGAACTGAGTGTCAGCTCAGCCCCTCCCTGGTGGTCCCACTGGTCCCCAGGGATGTCACCCACAGATGGGGCAGATCAGGACCAGGGTCAAGGGCTAGGGGTGAGGTCAGGGCCACGGCCACGGGCCACACCCGTGCCTCCACCCCCTTCGCTCTTCCGATACACTGAGCGTCCTGGATGCAGCCGAGTCAGCGATCAGGACCGAGGTCAGAGGTTGGGTTTGGGGTCAGGGCCCCCCAACCCTCCCTGATGCTCACACAGAGGCCTGGTCCTCTGGGACGCCGCCCACAAAGAGGTCTGTGTCCAGGTTGAGGCCATCAGTGCCACTGGGGCTCTGGCCCGAGACGGGGGGCTCGCCGTCCACGGACAGCGCCCCCTGGCGCCAGTGCCGAGACAGCTCCAGGCGGTGCCACCGGCCGGGCTCCACGGGGACGGAGCTGGTCAGCACTGCGGGCCCCGAACCTGTGTCGAATCTGGGGGTGCGGAGCAGGCATCAGCGCTGCAGACCGCCACGGGGCAGGACCATGGCTCGAGACCCCATCCTGCCCCGCTCCACCCACCTGAGCTGCACACGGCCCCCCAGCAGCGCCAGCGCCAGGAAGTCCTTGCCCTGCGCGTTGCCGTTGTACAGCAGCAGCCCCTGCGGCTCCAGCGTGCGGAACTCCAGCGCCAGGCGCAGCGTGTGGTAGGCACGGAGGGTGGGGAAGGCCAGGAAGGACTGGCCCCCAAAGGACGGCACCAAGGGGTGCAGGGCTGCGGAGCAGGCAGCGGCTGGATGGGGCAGCGGACAGGGCCCCGCAGCCCTGCCCTCCAGCCTGGCGCCCTGTCCCGCCCTGTCCCCGGCTCAGGGGTGGGGAGGCCCACCTGCCCCTCAACCCCACCACGATCCCTCAGCCTCACCTCCCACTCCCCAAGGTGGCCTGACCCACCCCCAAACCTGTCCCCCTTGCCTCCCTGCCCCTCTCCGGCAAGGGTGACCTCACCCTTCTCACAGACGGTGCCCCCCCTGCCAGCCGGGCAGCTGCAGGTGAAGGTTCCACCCGATTCCTGGTCCCGGCAGGTGCCCCCATGGAGGCAGGGCTGGGAGTCGCAGGGACGAGGGGGCTGCTGGGTGCCTGGGGGCAGGAGCCGGCGTCCAGACATATGGCTGGAGGCAGTGGGGGGGGGCCGGCGTGTGGTGAGGGGGGCTGTGGTCCTGCTGACGGGGCGGCTTGTGTGGCTGGGGTGAGGGGCCCGGGAGGTCACGGCGGAAGCAGTCACGGTGGTGGCCCTGGCCGTCGCTGCAGCGGGGGTGGCCCCAGTGAAGAATTCCGGAAGCCAGTCTGGGGGAGGGGACCGTCAGGGTGCCTGCAGCAGGGCACAGGGCGAGCCCTGGTGCTGGGGCAGCGGGGGGCACGGACCAGCGCTCACCCAAGTCCACGAAGCGGACGTGCTCCTGCAGCGGTCTCCGCACCCCCAGGGCCCGGCGCCGGGACGCCTGGATCTGCCGCAGGAGGGCCCGGCCCACGTCCGATGCCCTGAAGCTCGTGCCTGGGGGGAGGAGGAACACTGAGCTGTGTGCAGCTCCCACCACCTCCTGAGAACGACTGGTGGGGGGGCGCTTGCTCACTGGGGTCAAAGTGCACGTCCACAATGGCCCGGACTGAGCTGCCAGGCCCCAAGTCCCGCAGGCGGACACTCCAGAAGTCCTTCTTAACGTCCGAGTTCCGGAAGAGCTCGTCCAGCTGTGGGCGAGCAGGGTGAGGCTCCAGGGCTGCCCCACGGGCGGGCCGGCCACCCGCCCCATGCGCCCCGGGTCAGTCCTGGGAGGAAGGCCCTGCACTCACGGCACCCTCGATGCTCCTGGCCGTCTCCCCAAACAGCTCCGACTTGGGGTCGGCCATCTCCGCCGTGTAGAACAGCTCCTGCCCCTCGACCCCCTCGAGCTCCAGCACACCCTGGAACGCCCTGGTGGCTGTGGGGGAGGAGGCAGTGAGGCCCAGGCGGCACCGCCCGGCCCTGGACCGGCCACGGGCGCAGGCGCCGGCGCCGGCAGGAAGCCCCGGGGGGAGGGCAGGTGGCGGTTAGTCAGATGGTCATGAGGTTAGTGGGGAGCAGGGCTGGCACCAGTTACCAGGCAGACTCTCGGAGCAGTGCTCCCTGGCAGCTTGCAATGGAAAGACAGGTTAGCTCAGGGCCCAGGCACCACAGGTGTGCGGGCTGAGACCCGTGTGTGCGCTGAATCCAAGTCCACGCACACACGTGTGCTGAGGTCGCCCCCACAGCTCTGGATGCCCACCTGCTGGGCAGGCCTCCCGGGAGGAGAGGGCGTCCGGGCCGGGTCCAGGCCAGTCCTCACGCGGCACCCAGCCCCGGCCACCCACTCACCAGGACAGCTGGAGCCCTCGGCGTCCACTGAGGGTGTCTTGCCGTCCGAGCAGCAGCCCAAAGGGGAGTTGTAGCAAGAGGCCCTCTCAATGGGCGGCCCAGGGGTCACAGCACTGCGGCCCTCGGGGGGCTCAAGTCCTGGGGAGGTACAGTCTGAGCCCCGCGGCAGGTGCAGCCGTTCTGAGCCCTGCCCCCCTCCCCTGAGCCCATGCTCACCCCCCGAGCCGGCCCCACTGGCCTCCAGGTCCCCGCTCAGCTCCTCGTCGCCGCTCCCATCAGCGCTGCCGGATTCGCTGAAGGCAGAGGTGGCTGCCGTGGGGGGCGCCGTGGGGGGCGCGGTCAGCACTGGCCTCCTGGTGGTCCTGGGGACGCCGGCCGTGGTCCAAGGTTGTGGCGAGGGTCTGGAGGTGGGCCGGCTGTGGGAGGTACTGCTGGGAACCAGGGGCAGGGCGCTGGGTGGGGGTGCCTCATTCAAGGGGTGCGTGGAGGGGGCCGCAGACACAGGTGTCGTGCGGGTGGCGGGAGCCACAGCCTCTGTGAGGAGAAGGGAGAATTGGGTGGCGGCCGAGTCAGGGCAGGATCAGGCCTTCCCGGTCAGTGCTGGGGTGGTGGTCAGGCCTCACCCTGGCAGGGGCCGAGGTGCCGGACGGAGATGTCCAGGCCCTGGCGGCAGGTGATGGTTCTCAGCTGACACTCGTTCCCGTAGGTGACTCCATCTGACCCGCAGACCTGGGCAAGGACAGGATGCTGGGGGCAGCCCTCCCCCCTGGCCCCCCTCCACCACTCCGTCCCTCACCTTGGCAGCGCTGGCCCCCGGGCAGGCGGGTGTTGGGCACACACAGTGGGCAGAGCCAGCCTCCTCCACACAGGACGCCCCGAACTCACAGTGCATCTCGGCACAGGTCTTGGGTGCGGAGGAGTCTGGGGCAGAGGAGACCCGGCTGGCTCGGGGGGCAGGCCTCCACGCCGGCCACACCCCACACGGGGAGCCTGTTGCACAGGCCTGGCCCTCACCTGTGTCACAGCCAGCAGGGCCCAGGGCACGGCCATCTGGACACTGCCCGCACTTGGGTCCAGCCACCCCGGGCTTGCAGGAGCACAGCCCTGTCATCTGCTCACAGTCGTCCCGCACGGCACCCCGCGGGTCACAGCTGCAGGCTGAGGGGCGAGAGTGGGACCTGAGGCCTGTGCTGGCTTCCCCACTGGTCCCGGAGCCCCGCCCTGCAGGTGGGGCCAGGCCAGGGGCCGAGCAGGGGACACAGGCGGAGAGCCCAGCCCTGTCACTCACGGGTGCAGCCGCTCCGGCCATCGGTGACGATGCCACGGAAGTTCCAGAAGCCGGGCTCACAGCGGTCGCACTTGAGGCCCCCCACGCCGGGGCGGCAGGAGCACTGGCCGGTGCCCGGGTCACAGGTGCCGCTGTAGGAGCCGTGTGGGTTACACTGGCACAAGCCTGCAAGGCCAGGGCGGGTCACCACGGCTGCCTGGCTCCGCCGGGCTGTGGGTCAGGGCCCGGCTCCGGTACTCACTGGGGCAGCCAGCCAGGCCCGCACCCCGGGCAGCAGTGACGTTGTCCCGACAGCAGCCAAAGGGCGTCTGGGTGCAGTGCGGGGGGACCGCGGGCGGCATCGGGGCCACAGTGGGGCCTGCGGAAAAGGGGCAGCGGCTCAAACACCACCGGGCCTGGCCACTGCACCTCAGCTCCCCTGGTCATCACCGTCACCCTCCTGATGCCAACTGCCCTTGGGGCCGGAGCCTGGGGCTCAGGCCACAGGAGAGGGTCACCATCACGTACAAGAACACGTCTGTCCGTACAGGACCAGGGACACACAGAACACTGAAGGCCAAGGACACGCAGCCCTGGGCACACTGTGCACCTGTGCACCTGCTCGGGTCAGTGTGTCTGCAACCTGCCACGTGCACACACACGAAGACCTGTGGGCACACGCATCCACACACAGCTGCACAGACAGCACCGGTCACCACAGCCTCCCTCACAGAAGACCGGGTGCCCTCGGGTGGGCCTTGATACTCGGAAGCCAGCCTGACACCTGGCGGGGGCACACTCGTTGGCTTCACAGTGACACACGCGTGCACACGCCTGCCACCGCACACACCTCACGCCTGTGCACACACGGGAACAGCGACCGTGCGAGGAGCTCGCGGCCACGCACCTCGGCAGGCGCCGTGGGCCACGACGTGCAGCTCCTGCTGGGACTCGCACCGGGCCTTCTTCAGCTCGCACTCTGTGGCGTAGGTGACACCATCGGAGCCGCAGACCTGCAGGGGTGCTGTCAGTGTGGGCGGCCGTGGTCTCTCCACCACCTCCTGCCCAGAGCCGGGGGTGGGGCTCACCGGGCTCCTCAGGACACCCTGGCAGCTGAAGCCGCACACACACGGCCCGTCTTCCGAGTCCTCGTCCCAGACGCCGCCGTGCTGCAGGCAGACCTCCCGCTCACACTCGCCGTCCTCGCCGGAGCCGGAGCCCCCTGAGCCGCACTCAGCTGGGGGAAGAGGGCCGGGGTCAGCCCACAGTGCTGGTCAGAGCCCCCGCCCAGCAGCCCACCCGGCGCCCGAGCCTACCCTGCTCACAGGACCCTGCCCGGGCCTCGGTGATCTGTGTCTGCTGCCGACAGGCGGCCTCGCGGAGCTCACAGGCACTGGGGTAGGTGACGCCGTCACTGCCGCACACGGGGCCGGGCGGAGGGTGCTCGCACCGGGGGCACACGCACTGCCCCGCCTGGCACACGGCCCCGAAGGCACACACCGCGTCTCCGCAGGTCTCTGCGGGGCAGGGCCAAGCGGTCAGCAGGCCGCCGGGAGACGCCGGCCGCAGCCTCCCGCCCCCACTCCCACTCACGGCAGGGTCCAGCCGAAGCCACGCGCAGGCTGATCTGGCGTGTGCAGGCGTGGACATGCAGCTCACACTCGCTGGCATACGTGTGCCCGTCAGAGCCGCACACGGGCTGGGCCAGCGCCACGCACTCGGAGGGGCACACGCAGCGCCCGGTCTCGGCCTCGCACAGGGCTCCGAAGCGGCACTGCCCGCAGCGGTCTGGGGGGAGGCTCCGTCAGCACGGCGGCCAGGACGCCCCCCCAGCAAGCCCACCTGCCCACCACTGACCACAGGGTCCTGTGTGAGCCACGCGGATCTCGTGCCCAAGGACACAGGCCGTGGCCTCCAGCTCGCAGGCGCTGCCATAGGTGACGCCGTCGCTGCCGCACACGGGGCTGTAGACCCTCGGACACGCCTGCTGGCACACACACTCGGCCTCCCCGTTCTTCACAGCGCACACCGCCCCCAGCAGGCACTGCACCCCGCGGCACGGGGACTGGGGCTGGTCTGGGGGAACACGGGCACTCAGTGGGCCCCGCCACCCCAGGCCGAAGCACAAGCCCCCAGCGTCACGCAGCAGCCCCTCCTGGGGCGGGCACAGGGAGAGGGTCAGACACACAGGGCGCAGCAGAGAAAGGGACAGACACACGACAGACATGGACAGGGACACAGACCCCGGCTGCCCCAGCCTCCTGCACGAGCATGGGGGGGCTGCCCCCAGCGGGCAGTGCGAGGGCCAGGCTTCCCCAGCGCCCCCCCCCCCCCGGCCCCGGACCCTGACCACCAGCAGCCCTGGGACATGTGAGCTCTCCCTGTGGGTAGGAAAGTCTGCAGCCCGGGGTCAGACCCAGGGCTGCAGGGGGAGGTGTCTGTCCACTTGCTCTGAGGACTACAGGCCAGGCAGCAGCGAGCCCCCCCGCCGCCCTGGGGGCAGACCTCGGGCTGCGGGCTCCTGGTGCAGGCGCGGCACCTCATCCTGCCCATAGGTCAGGCTGGAAGACACAAGAGGCGCAGCCGAGAGGGGAGGAAGGGCAGAGAGGAGAGAGACGCAGAGACCCTCGGACAGAGCTGAGGCGGGCGGAACACAGCCCCGGCCTCTGCCGGCCCCTCGGGGCCCACCTCCACCTGGGGGCCCAGAGCCCACGGCGACAGGAGCCTGCCCAGCCCCCCGACGACCCCCGAGCCCATGAGCCCAGGAGGAACGTGACGGGATGGAGATGGTGTGAGATGGCGGCAGGGACCCGGCGGGCCGCCCCCGCACAGCCTGGGCGCTCACCACACGGGCCCCGGTGCCTGGCAGGGATGGCGCGCTGCTGGCGGCACTCGGCCTGCTGGCGCCGGCACTCGCTGTCGTACGTGCGCCCGTCCTTGGCGCACACGGGTCTGTATGCGCCGTCGCAGACGACGCGGTCACAGGAGCAGCGGGGGCGGCCTCGGCGGGACAGGCACACGGCGTTGAACCTGCAGGTGTCTGGGCACTGGTCTGGGGGTTGGCAATGAGGTCAGAGGCCAGACGCCACACCAGCCCTGACCAGGGGACATGCGGCGGTGTGGGGCCCTCCCCCAGGGGCCACCCACCTCGAGGCTGGCACTGTCCGGAGCGCACTTTCTGCAGAAGGATGCCGCGGGCAGCCCCCGTGCGGCCCATGACACATTCGTTGTCGTAGGTGACCCCGTCGTCCCCACACACGGGCTCGTGCCGGGGAGGGCAGCTCTCTGGCTGAAGGAGCATCTCCGGGCGCCGGGTTCGAGGGTTCACACGGCAGATGCGGCTCAGGTCGCTGAGGGCCCCCTGGCAGGGGTCTGGGGGCAGGAGGGCACAGATTAGGGCCCGCGGGCAGGTGCACAGAGGTCACGCTGAGTGCACCGAGCAGCTCACCGCAAGGGCCGTCGAACTTCTTGGAGATGTTCTCCTGGCGAGCACAGGCGCGGCGCAGGAGCTGGCACTCGCCGGGGTAGTCGGCACCATCACTGCCGCACACGGGGCCCTCAGGAGCCCCCCGGCAGGTGGCAGGGCACAGGCAGGTGGCTGTCTGTCCATCGGCAGAGCGCACACAGGTGCTGCCAAAGCTGCAGGTCACGTTGGAGCAGGGGTCGCGGGGCCCTGAGGGCGGACAGGGGAAGGCAGCCCCCCCAGGTCAGGTTGGAGCAGGGGTGGCGGGGCCCTGAGGGCGCACAGGGGAAGGCAGACCCCCAGGTCAGGTTGGAGCAGGGGTGGCGGGGCCCTGAGGGCCGAGGGGGTAAGGCAGCCCCCCAGGTCAGGTTGGAGCACGGGTGGGGGGCCCTGAGGGCCGAGGGGGTAAGGCAGCCCCCCCAGGTCAGGTTGGAGCAGGGGTGGGGGCCCTGAGGGCCGAGGGGGTAAGGCAGCCCCCCCCCCGTCAGGTTGGAGCAGGGGTGGCGGGGCCCTGAGGGCGCACAGGGGAAGGCAGACCCCCAGGTCAGGTTGGAGCAGGGGTGGCGGAGCCCTGAGGGCCGAGGGGGTAAGGCAGCCCCCCAGGTCAGGTTGGAGCACGGGTGGGGGGCCCTGAGGGCCGAGGGGGTAAGGCAGCCCCCCCAGGTCAGGTTGGAGCAGGGGTGGGGGCCCTGAGGGCCGAGGGGGTAAGGCAGCCCTCGAGGGCGGACAGGGGAGCCCCCGCCCACACGCACCGCAGGGCCCCCGGAAGAGCAGGCGGATGCGCCGCTGCTGGCTGCACTGTGCCCGCTGCAGCTCACACTCGTTGCTGTAGGTGGAGGCGTCGGAGCCGCACACGGGCGCCACCACGCTGGGGCAGGCGCGCTTCCTGCACACGCAGGAGGCCTGGCCCGGACCCTCTGCGCTGGGCTCACAGACGGCGCCGAAGCCACACAGCATCCCCCGGCAGGCTGTGGGTCGGACAGGAGGGTCAGAGCCCACCCCGCCCGCACCCCCACGGTCATCCACGCACCCGGTCCAGCATCCACACTGTTCACTCATCTGAGCCCGCGAACACATTCACATGTGCACATGCATGTCCACACATGATCACGCTCACACAGAAAGACCTGCACCTGTCATGCCTATACACACGCTCGTGGGCACACTCACAGGGCCGGCCCCCCCCTCAAACCCTGCCCCGCCCAGGGCTCCCCCACCTGCCCCAGCCTTTCCTTGGCCTTTCTTCAGGCAGAACCTTCCCTGCAGCATCCTTCAAGCCCCGCCCCCAACTGTGGAGGGGACATCTCCTGACCTGCCTCCCGCCCCCGGGCCCGGCGTGCCCACCAGCACCCCTGACCTGGGCCACCTCCCCATGGAATAGCTCCTGCCTTTCCCGGACACCCGAGGTCACAGCTGGGGGAGGGGTGTGGGGTGATCTGAGATCAGGTCACATGCTTCACCCTCTGGCTCAGGCTCCCCAGCTCCCCGCCCCATCTTCCCACATTGTACACTCCTGCTTCTCTGGAGGCTGCCCCCCTACTTGGACCTATCCCCCCATGGGCCCTGCCTCTGCCCACCCTCACCTTCCATGCCCCAGGCCCACACTCTGTGTGGCTGGCCCTCCTGCCCCCAAAGCTTTCTGAGCCTTGTGGGCATCTCCCCCTGGGGTCCCTCCTGCCCCCACATGCCTCATCCGCTCCCACCTGTCCTCCTGAGCCCCACTTCAGTCATGTCCTCGGCCCTCGCTCATCGACAGCCCAGCACGGCTTCTGCAGACCTCTCCTCTCTCTGCACATCTTAGTTCATGACTTTGTCATTGGCAAGTGTGTGTGTGCCGGGCACAGCCTATCACAGAGCCTCTGCAGCAGCCCAAGGGGCGGCCCTTGGAGGGGCCACGGTCCTGAGGGCAGGACCCCGCCCAGGACTGCACACCCCAGGCGGCGAGGGGGTGCACTGAATGTTTAATTGGGTCCAGTAAATGTTTAATTGGGACCCATTAGCATTAATAAGTGATGGGGAATGGGAGGCTCCAACATCACCTCCCAGAAGATTCAGGAAGTAGGGTGGGAGGAACACCCTCAATTCTATGGAGGGTGGGGAGCACAGGGAGCGGGAGCTAGCTGTTGCCACGACAACGGCCCACCTCAGGCTCCTGCCTGTCTGCTTGGGTGTCCCCACCCCCATCCCACACAGGCTGACTGAACCAAGCTGGGGGCCACGCAGACACTCCAGGCTGATCCCCACAACCCACCTGTGCTCCCCTCACACACACCCTTGTCCACCCCCCAGATCCCTCATCATACGTGGACCCAGGCTCTCCCCCACCCTGCATTCAGCAGCCACGCCTCAGTGCCCCCTTCTGTGACAGGGGCCAGTGGACCAGCCTCCTGGGGTGGTTGTGGGGTTAAACGGGCCAGTGCATGCGAAGGCTTGTGGGGTACCCAGGGCACAGCTACCATGATGACGGCGGTGACAAGAACTGTCACTACCTCGGTCTCCCCTGTGCCCCCTCTTCCCACTTCCCGTCCTCCTGAGCCCCACCCAGCACTTCTCCCCCCCAAGGCCTCTATGATTCAGGCGCAAACCACCGGCACTTGCTGACGTCCAGCTGGCTGTCCTCTTTGGCCTCAACTGGACCTGCTGACCAAGACCTCTCCCAGGGTCCTGACCCTATGCTGAGGGCCTGGTCACCTCACTACACGTTACGCTCCTCGACCAGCTGCTGTGCTGCGCCCTCGGGCTCAGGCCTCTCTCCCTCTGGTCACCTTGGTCCAGCCAGACCCCTGCCAAGATCCCAAACCCTTTGCCAAGGACACCTGCTTCTGGGTGACCAGCACGCTCCTCACCCACCAAGATCTGCACCTTCTTCCACAGCCCAGGGGTCTGCTCTGCCCCTCAAGACCGCCCCAGGGAGGAAGGGGATGAGCAAAGCCAGGCACTGTGGCTGGTGCAGAGGGTGGGCGGGAGGCAGGGCTGGGGGCAGGAGACCAGAGATCTCAGAGACAGGTGCCTTGGGACTAGCTCCTGGACCGCAGGTGGCTGAGGGCAGAGGAGGGGCCCGGGGGGCCTCTGGGGGCCAAGCTGAGGCCCCAGCACTGACTCCCAGGTCCCAGCCTTTCCACCTCTCCCCCAGAAAGACAGTTCCTGGACACAGTCTCCTGACCGTGAAGTGGGGGTAGATCTCGGGCTCCCAGGGCAGGGGTTTGACTCAGGCAAAGCAGAGGTTTGGAGCATCATGGACTCATTCTCTGTCCAGCTCCCACCAGGCCACACTCAGGTTGTTAGCGGGGTGAGGGCGGCTCTGTGCACTCCCTTGATGCCAACTTCACAACTGTCCACTTATGCGCCCACACCGCCACGGAGCAAGGAATCACAACGTCTCGAGACAAGATTCTTGACGGGACATCAAAGGTGCACAAGCACAGACCACGAACACAGACAGGTGCAATCACACACACACATGCACACACATCTCACAGAACAGACACACCTGCTGTGGGTCAGGCACCGCTCATGCACCCCTGTACGAGCTCTTATCATCATGCCAGCCGTCTCCCATAAGTGCAGGGGGAGTACTCACCCACCCACGGGCTGTGCCCCTCAGGTCCCCTCGAGGCCCCGCATGCCAGCCCCAGCCCAGCCTCCTGCGGGAGCCTCTCTGGCCACTCTGCTTCCCTCAGAGTCCACCCCTTGCAGGCTTGAGGCCCCCACAATGGGCGACGCTGGAGGCAGCACTGTCTTTTTATATCCACCCCTTGCACCAGGCCTAGTAAACTCCCTTCCGGGTCTCGGCTGGGTTGGGGATGGAGGGGACACCCCAAGCCGTGCCTGTGGCCACAAATGTGTGGTGTGCGCCTCGAAGGGATGACAACGGCCATGGCGTGTGCAAGAGGACAGAGTGCGGGGGGAGGGGGGGGCTCTGTGCAGCTGTAGGAGGGGCCGGCGTGTGCAAAGGGCAGGAGACACCAGCCCTTCAGGGTTCAGGAGAGGAGGCAAGGGTACTAGAGAGGGGAAGGTGTCCCCCACCGAGCCCAATCTTTGAATCCAGGAGGCCCTAGGCTTCCTGCCCACTGCCTGAGAGACAGTCCTGGGCCCCTGCTCCCAACGCAGGGCAGACCTGCCTCCTCCCACAGCCCACCCTACACATGAATGGGCCCCTGGATGTAACTTCCAAGAACCTGGGCAGGTACTGGCCACGCAGGGAGCCCCCCACCCCTAAATGGACCCCAGGCCACCCCTGCAGCACTCATAGCTCCTTCTCCCTCCATCTCACACCCACAGGCTCCCCCCCAGAGGCTGGGCTCCAGCTTGCTCAGTCCAGAGACAGGATCTCCAGTTCCTCCTCAGACAGCTGTCATTGGTCCTGCCGAGGCTCAGTCCAGCCCAGCCCCCCTCCCTGCACACATCTGACCCATCTCACAACCTGTGGGCTCCAGGACTTACTCCCAGAGAAGTCAGAGCCCTGTCTGTGAGCAGCGGCTGTACCGAGACACTATCAACCTAGGGACCCCAGACCCACGCTCCCCCCACTGCCAGCCTAGGGACTCCGCGAAAGGAACCCAGGTTCCCTTGCCCAACCTCCTCCCTGCTCCAGACACACCCCAAGGATGGCCCCCAACCCAGGCACAGACTCCCAAGGTCAGCCTGCCAACTGATGCCTCCACTCACCGTCCGGAGGTGTTGGGGGCACTGGTGTGAAGTGGGTCCCAGGTTTGTCTGGAAAAGAAAACAAATCTCCAAGTTAGGTCCCTCTGAGCAGGCCCTTCCATAGCCTGTCCCTTCACCCAGCCTGGAGGGGTCACTCCTGCCTGCCCACAACCCTTCCCTGAGCCCTGAGAACTAGCCCAGGCCAGGGGTGGGCAAAGGCAGAGGCCCTTGCTGGTCTTGCCCTCTAGTGCATGGTCATGGCCTGACACATGTCAGGTGGGGCCCCAGCTGCAGGCCTTTGGGCAGCCACCTGCTCTCTAGGTGAGCCCAGTCCAAACCTGGCCACAGCCCCACTCCCTGGGGAGCCATCTGCCCCCTTCCTCCCCAGCTCCCAAAGAAAGTTGATTTTTTTCAGCTCGGGACGATGGTCAGCCCCCCATGAGTGCCAGGAGAGGCTTCCAGGGCCCTAGAAATCCACAGAACGGCCCCTCCTGTCCCCAGAAGATGCATGTGGCCCTCGGAGCCGCATCCCCGCTGGTGGCCGCTCTGTGCCCCTGCCTGTCGCCCAGCCTCGCCGCTAGGCAGCGAGCGGCCGGCAGAGGCAGGGTCACTTGGGCCGGGCCCAGGGCGGCCACGCCCGCAGCACGTACAGTTGTTGAGAAAGAGGAGCACGGCAAAGCCGAGCGTGGCGGTGGCCAGCAGGATCAGGCACACGTTGCAGGGGATCATGAAATACCGCACCAGCAGGGAGACCCCACGCTGCTGCCCGGGGTCCCGCTCCAGCGGCAGCGGCATGGCCCGGGGCTCCTCCGCCTCCACTCTCGGGGCGTGGGGGTCCTCACGGGGTGCCCTTGGGCCTCTTCAGGGCTATGCCCCCCATTCTGAAAGCCCTGGGACCGCCGACAAGAGATCTGTTCTCAAAGTTCAGCTCCAGCCATAGCTTGGGGGCACCGGGCCCCCTCCACAGCCTCCAGGCTCATGATGGGGCGGGTGCAGAAGTCTCCCGCAGTAGAAATCCTAAAGTTGGGCTCAGAGGGAGGCAGAGGAGGAGTCGAGGGCCAGCGGCCACCCCTGCGGTCCACAGGGCACCCCCGCGTCCAAGCCGCCAGCTGCTCCCGCAGGGCTCGGCGGAGCCCGCTTCCTGGAGCCCCAGCCCGGTCCCGTCCTGCCGGCTGGTGCCGAGGCCGTCCGCGGGCTGCGTGGCGGGGAGGCGCGGGGCGCAGCGATGGCAGCGCGGGAGGAGCGTGCGCGTCAGCAGGCAGAGAATAAAGAGCCGCCCCGGCTCCCGCCTCCAGCGCACAGCGCCAGCGCCCCTCGCCCTCCCGGGCCGCGGCTGTGGGCGTGGGGCGCGGGGCGCCGCCGAGGGAGGGCGGGGAGCGGAGACAAAGGAAGAGCCTCTGGGACCCCGGCGGCTCACGACGTGGACGAGGTCCGCGGACGGGGACGCAGGGCGGAGGGCGGCGGCACAAAAGGGGCCGCGGGGGCAGGCGGGGCAGCGGCAGGGCCCGGCGCTGGGGTTGGGGCTGCAGCGGCGCTGGGGAGCGGCAGGAGGTGGCGGCTCGGAGGACGTGGGGAGGACGTGGGGTGCCGGGGCTGGAAGGAGCAGGGCGGGGCAGGGCAGAGGTGGGAGCAGCGCCTGGGAAAGCGCAGGGGCCTGGGCAGGGGCGGGGGGCGTGAGGGGAGCAGGAGGCAGGTGCCGGGTGTGGGGGTGGGTGCCGGGCGAGAGTGGGGCGGGGTCGGGGCTCGGCCGGCAGGGCCGGTGCTGGGCTGTGCGGTGCGGAGCCGAGTCCGCAGGGGCTGGGCCTGCACAGGGACCCTGCGTGGGCTGCTGTCTGCGTGTCCCTGCGCGTGTCTCCGCTCCAGCGGCCCCGCCCTGGCTGTGTGGGCGGGAGGGTCCGCAGGTACAGACACACAGGTGGAAAGTGGGCTGAGTCCAGTGCGGAGGGTCGAGGTGGCAATGATGGGCCCACCTCTCCCTAAGAATGGACACCCACACCTCGCGCCACCCACGCACCCCACATCTCTTCGGGACAGGGAGAGGAACATGCCAACGAGTTACGTGTAAATAAGTGTCATGCAAACAGTCTCGGGACTCCCGGGGGGTCCCGCGGGCCTGGAGCGCCCCGCAGAGGCCGCCCCGGGAACTTCGGGGCCATGACGTCACAGCGGGGCTGGGCGTAGTCAGCAGTCTCCACATCCGCCCCCAAAGGATACCCTTCCCCAGCCCCTTCCCAGACATCCGGTCTTCAGCGCCAGGCCTGCTTAGGGTGCGGGGACGCGTGCCCTGTCCCCACCATGCACACCACTCACACCCCACCTCCGCGGCCAGGATCCCATAGGTGACCATCTCCATGATCGGACGAGGGGCCCCTAAGCGCCCAACGCCACACCCTTCCATCCCGGACCTGGTCACAGGCCCTGCAACGACCCCCACCACCTGCCCCCCTCGAGTCCGCCAGCCCTTTCTGGGGAGGGGGAGGAAGGTGTGGACGAAAGAGGCGGCCACACGCTGAACCTGACAAGCTCTAGGGAGGGCCTCCCAAACTCGGAGATGGAAAGGAACCCCCAGGATGGCCCGACACAAAAGTCCTAACTGAAAGTGCACCATGGCCCTGCCACCTCCTAGACCCGGAAGCTCCGCTTCCGTGACAAAGGTCAGTCTTCATGTGACATTTTGCATCTAAGATAAACACACCTTTGAAATGCGAGAAAAACATCCTTTCCAGACCCCTCAGGGCACACCCAGAGCAAGACCACAGGACCCCTCACTGTTATCTTGTTCCTGGCCCAGCATCTCCAGGTGCTGTAAATGTTGGCTAATTACCCGTACCACCCCCACCCATGCAAGAAGTGCGTCTTTCCGTCTTTCCAGTGTATTCTTTGTCCAATCCCAGAGATTTCCCGGCTCTGCCTTCTCTCACCCCCGTAATCTACCTCGAGTGGACTTCATGTAAGTCCTCCTTATGTCTCTTCCTTTGATTCTAGAGTATAAAATAAGCTGTAAAACTGTCCCCCTCCGGAGCATTTTCTCAATCCGTTGAGATTTTGCTTCCCCGCAATTGTCAGTTTGGCTCAAGTAAACTCATAAAAATTCTCTATAGGTTTGGACGTTTCTTACGTAGACAAAGCAGTCTCAAGCAGAAGGGTCCTCTTTTTCTTGGGGTCAGGTCACACCCCCTCCCAACCCAGTACCCCTCCAGGTCAGTTCCCTCCAATGGTCACTGACCAAGTCCCCACCCCGGCTGGAAAGACATTAACCTCTCTCCGCCCCCCCCCCCCCCCCCCCCGTTCACCCCACACACTGAGTCACAGCCATCCTGTCACTCAGGCTCACAGACCCTGCACTCAGGCCGTGGGAGGGGATCCGTGTCTGCCTGCCGTCCGAAGGTCTCCTCAGCAGAACTGCTGTTGCCATGGCCACCAGTGCCACCCCAGTCACTCCTAGACCTCGTCTCAGTCCACCCTGAGAAAAAGCACTAACCACACCCAGCTCCCTTGGGTCCCTCTCCCCAGGTCTGGGGACTCCTCTGCTCTGCCCCTGGAACGGACCCTCCCTGGCACCCACAGCCATCTCTGTTCCTCCAGCGGGACTCCCCCCCTCCCCCAATCTCATTCCACCCAGCCAGGCATCCAGCTGCCTTACAAACAGGTCCTGGAGTCCCACCCTGGTCACCCCCTCGGGTCAGTGGGCTCCTCCACACACATCCCCACCCATCCTCAGTGAGCAGCTACCTGCCAGCCAGCGCCCAGTCTGTCAGGTCCACCTGTCTGGACTCCTTCCTATCCCTCAGCAGGCACGCTAGGGCTACATCCCACAGGGCAGCCCCCAGTCAGGGTCCTGATCACCCCCAGCAGGGGTCTTCAAACCTGAGGTCCCAGTAAAACCTCGAGGAGAAGCCAATGAACAGAGTGGACCCACACGCGATGGACCCAGAGCGACAAGTCATCAAGCACCTGGGGATCCTGGCTCTTAGCAGCCTCACGCTCCTCAGGGTGCCTCCCAGCCCTGCCCACCTCGCTGGACCTTGGTACTGCCCACAACACACTGATGCTGTCTGTGGCCCCCGGGCACCACCCTGGACTGGGAGCACCCAGGGCAGGGTCTGACTCTTTATCTCAGGGTATGGCTTGGCCTAGAGCCCAGCTGGTCACATACTTTCCCACTGAATTCTCACTGCAGCCCCCCAGGACTGGCCTGCACCCCTTGGCTCAGAGATGCCCCTTGGACAGTGCCAGGGGTCAAAACGCAGGCGCTGCCCAGAGCCCACCGGAAAACGCACATGCCCAGTCTGCTGCTTCCACTGCAACCAGGGACATCATGGGGGGCTGGGGGGACACGGTGGAGGAACCAGGATGTGGGAAGGGTAAGCCTGGGGACCAGTGGGAGCCCAGGTGGGGCTGGCAGGAGAGGCCTCCCCCCCAGAGACCTGGGATCTGCCCACGGATGGGCTGGCCAACCAGCCAACACTGGGGTGGGGCGTAGGGCCTACACGCCCGGCCTGGGGGAAAGGGAACCAGCAGGCTGCCTGGTCCCTCCCAGCCCTGGTCCCAGCCTGAGCCCCCCACAGGGGCTGGCCGCCTTCAGAGACAAAGGGCCATTGAGGCCCCAGACCCAGCTGGGGGAGGGGAATGCAGGCTACCGAAGCTATTTTGGGATCTTCAGACTCAAAATCACTCAGCCCTGACCAGTCCAGGCGGGCTCATGCCCCAAGAAGGAACGGAGGACACTGAGCCAGAAATTAGCCCCCTGGACTCTGGGCTCACACACAGCAACACGCAACTGGGTGTCACACGCATACTCACACACAAATGCGCATGCACACCGCTGTCACTCACCTGTGTACACACACTGGCATCTCACGCATACGTTACCCTTCGTGCAACACGAAGCTTGCTCCTCACCCACACAACCCACGTACACGCACGTGCACCCGCAGGTTCCAATTGGGCACCTCAGGTACTTCTCTGGCCCTGAGAAGGATGGTGGGGGATGGGGTCTGGAGAGGGCGGAGTCCAGCCCACGGACAACCTGCGGCCCCTTTTTCATGCAGATGACCCTGGTTCAATCC